CTAAGGTCGGCCAGGTACGATATTATGGAGACCATAGACCTTACGTAACTTGAAAACGAATGCAGATATTGAATTGCGATTTGCGCCAAAATGTAGATATTTTTTTGCTCTTATAGCACAGTAATACAAAAATATTATGCCATTTGGATTTTTCATAAAAATTATAAAACTGGATCTTGAATAAACAGCGCCCTCTAGAAGACGCGGTGGGAACTATTGACCTCGAACGAAGTGGTGTTCTTGATAACAATGAAATTCTTCCAAATAAACCCAAATTGAATGAGTTTGAATGAGGGGTATGGAAGATACAGCAATTTCCAAAAAAAAAATTTCACCAGCTTCCCCCACCCTTATTACTGAAGATACGAAAAAAAGCCTTATAACCAAACTGGCACAAAAATTAATGAGCTTTTGATTTCTGTTGTTAAAACAGTATCTCAATATAGCGATTTCTTGAGAAAAGTTGAACTTTTAGCTATATCATCGAATTGCTCCCCCTAGCGGTCATCCTAGAAACTTGAAAATAATTTCCATCAATTTCTCTTGGCCGATTTAGTGAAGAAAAAAAAAATCCCGAAGCCGTAAGGTCTATGGTTTCCATAATATCGTATCTGGCCGACCTTAGTGGGACACCTGGTATAGGTAGGTACCTTTGGGCCAACACAGTATGGTTCTGACAGGTTGTATGTTGACCATGACCACTAATGTTCGTAATTTATATAAATAATTTTTCAGTTGCTTTACCAGCTTGCAAGGTCATATGATAATGGCTTCTCCATAAAATGTGACACTTTAGACCAGGCAAATATGCCAAAATATCAGGACATGCTGTGGAGGCTGCTAGTGAATGGTTCTGATCAAACCTTTTAAATATGAATTTGGAAACATGATCTTTACTCTCAAAAAAGCTACAGTCCAACACAACTCTAAAAAATCAAATTTCTAGGAGTAACTCTTGATGCAAAACTAACTTTTGAACAACATGTTGAAGAAACCTCAAAAAAATTATACTCTGCCACCTATGCCTTGCGAAATATATTATCAAAGATAGTACCTAGATAACAAGACCCTTAAAATGGCCTACTATTGACTTGTCCATTTTGTCTGTATGTACGGTTTACTGGCTTGGGGGCACTCGCTGCATGCTTCACGTACCTTTGGTCTGCAGCAGAGGGCAGTCAGAATCTTGGCAGGTGTCCAATACCGAGAAGATGTTAGACCTTCTTTTAAAACTCTAAAGATACTGACCGTTCCAGCCCAATATATCCTAGAGTTCCTTTTGTATTTTCACAAAAACTCCACAAACTATAATTATGTGCACGAAACTCATAACTATAATACTCGCCATAGGCATGACATCCAGATTGAATTTTTACGTTTACAAACTTCCCGGAATGCAGCACGTCATTACGCACCCATATTCTTCAATAAATTACTAATTAGCATCAAAAATCTCCCTTTGAACCCATTCAAAAACAAAATAAAACAATTTTTTATTAATAGGTGCCTATTCAATAAATTAATTTAAACAGTGTGGGGTCTCAGATTTGGAATTTTAGCTCTCTTCTGGGTCTAGTAAAATGTGCATCTGTATGTAAAATGATCTTGTTGACTTAAATATTTAGTATATATGTAAGTATATTTTTTCACTGTGTAATTTTAGTATTTACCATTCACCCTAAATTTCTTAACACGATTTTTTCTCACCAACTAGGTATAAGGAGTTGAAATTTTGCAGGGTTTCTTCCTTCTAAAATACAAAATTTTTTTTGTGTGGAGATTTCAACTTTAGATGATTAATTGGGACCCTAGAAACTCCATACAGTGATTTATGATGGGATTTGAAGCTGAAATATATGAAAAAAGGACCTCAGAAAAAGTCAAAAATCCAAAAACCCACCCCAGATTCCTTAACACGATTTTTTCCCAGGAACCATAAATTTTACAGGGTTTGTAGTCCTCTACTAGGATAAGAATTGCTAAAAATTTCAGCTCTCAATCTATGATAGAAAAAATGGTCTACAAACATCTGTCCTATAGTATTGATTTTTCTCATATCCCTGAAATTAGGGTTTTTACTTGGGTTTTTATCGACTTAGTACAGTTCTATTTGACCAGAATATACAGGAAATAGGCAGAGTTGTTTGTTTAAGTTTCATAAACAATGCGGTTTGATTGCAAGAATATAAAGAAGGCAAAAATGCGATTATTTTAAAATGAAGACACTGCAATGTAAAACACAAAAAAAAAATCTATAAATTAATATTAGGCCTTGTGTCAAAGACACAGTCACAATAGGCAATATTTAAATAAACATCTACCCAATTTAACTATACTAATTTAAAACAGATTGTGCTGATCACATTTAAATAAAGACATTTGTTCCTTAGTCATGCCTTTCCACTAAATGGCAAACAATTTTAAATGTAGACACGGCACTTCTTACTACTGTTTTATTTATTCAATGTTCTACCATTGCCTTATTTGAAGCTTTAGCCTGTTAAAAACCACAAGGACAATCCAATTTAGTTTATTTATTTATGTTGTTGTTGAGCCTAGGATTTTTTGCTTCCGATAGTTTATTCATTAGGATTAGAATAACTGCAAGTGACTCGCATTTAATCTAAATAGGATTTACTAGTCCAGTATAATAAATCCTATGAGACCCCACAATGAAGTAGGTATCGATTCAATGGAGAAATCGGCCTAATTTTAATTCAAGTCTATATTGCGTCAGCTTATTATTGAACAAAAAACGTAAACAAATAAATATGTGCAAATAACGGGTTTGTGTGGTTAACCTCTAGCTAGATTCTTTTAATGTCAGCACTATGATTATCAGACATGAATGAGTATTTAGTTGCAATTGAAACCCAAAGAATAATAACAAATACAAGCTGGTGGAAAACTTAGATGGAAAGGTATAGGGATAATTTGAAAAAATTAATATTTTTTGCCCTATCACCGTTATCTAGGCTAAACATCAATAAGGAAACAGACTGTTAACAATAGTCAACACTCAGCCCACATTTTACATCCCGCCGCAGGAATTAGATTGGATTACGCTTGGCCGGTGGTATATCAATTTATTTTAAAAAATATATAATTTTTTAAGTCAATTAATGAGGCTTGTAGAACCAGTTTGGTATCCAACCAAGCAGACATGATGGCCCCAAAACACCTATACATTTTAGGAAAAGTAGAATACAAGGAGAAAGTATTAAGTTTAATGTAACATTACATCATAAAAATTTGTATTGATCAATAGAGTTCTCATCTGGCTGAAAATTGATTCTCTTTTCAAACCTATTACAAGGCTGAAGTCAACTTTCTCTTATGCATATAAGACAAGTTTGTTTATGTTTTGTTGATTGTTTCTATTAAGGTTCGTTAAACAACTGGGTACAAATTGATTAAAGGCAGACTATTATTGTTTAGATTTATAATATGAGATTTCATACTTCTATGAAAAATATCAATATACTTAAAGTTTGATTTGTAATATACCAAAAGATAGGTACTTTTCCTAAATAAATTGAAGGCATTTTTAAGAATGCCTTGACATTTCCATGATTTAATTCTGCAATGGAAAAAAAAAGGTTCAAGGGCTTTTGTAGGATGTCCTGACTTCCTCATTATTTTGACTGCGGGACTGCGCCACTGACCTGTGCCAGGCGAAAATATCGAATTGTTTATATAAATATTCCGGAATCAATACAAACAAAAACACGTGTTGGGCCCACACAGCACAGCAGACTGTGGCGCAGGCCAAGCGAATTTACCTGGGCCCCAGGAAAATTTCAACCAACCAACAGCATGATACTGAACTTTCGCCTGCGGTTCAAGGTCTTTGCCATGCCGCGCTGAGAAGGATTTTAATCAATTTCTGGGTCCGAAAATACTACTACCGTTGGCGGTCGGTGCTTCCTTCCGCCTATCTTTTGCCTGGCAACAGCAGGCGAAGTATAATATATAAATTCAGCCTGATTTATAAATTGGAAGTTGACGTTATTTTGTGTTCGAAAATCCACACATACAGAAACCAAATTTAAATGAAACTTAAAAGCACAAAGTAAACGAACTTTTAAACCAACCAAAATGTGTGTGCTATTTTTGTTTGTAAAACGACCTTTAGGCATTTTTTGCATTGCTGCTGTGCTTAAATACACAGTGGATAATTATTTTTGGATAGGTTGTATGTTAAAAAAAAACCCATACACATATCGTTGCATAACTGCTATTGATTGTGCTATAGATAGTTTTGCAGCTTTCTCGAGAATATGCTGGGTAAATGCCAATAGTATATGCATAGCCCAAAGTTGTTAGAGAGCTATTATTGTTTGGATATTGGTATTTTCTATTCAGCCATTTCTCAATGAAATAGATATGTATCAGGACAAAATGTATAGTTGCAATAAGTTTAGAGAACATTTCTCTCTTCAAAAATCGCACATTCTCAACAACTACAAAAAGCATATTATGTGAAAAATTTCATTATTTTATATGTACCGCATTCCAGTCAACAAGCAAGGTACCCGTTTGTTATTAAATTGTTAATTTTCATATCATTTCAGGCGTTTATCAATTTAGCATTCATAATAAACCGAGCCCTACTAAACCGACTGCTTAATCTATGGTTGTGTATGTTAATGGATGTTTACATTGTTGTGTTGTGGTGCGATAGAATCAGTGGCGTGTAACCGACAAGTCAAACTATAGTATTAATTTATAAAATATATTAGAATTTTCCTTTCCAATAGGACCATCATGCTAGAAAAACATCAGATTGTATGTAAAAATAAATGATGCTGTCTAGCCACGATGTCTAAGTGGAAAATAAAATAAATTCTTCAAGGTTGTTTATTCCGTATTTTTATAGGAAGTTTCAAGGACTAAGAGATCTGTTTTGCTTGTTTAAGCTTAAGAATCCAGAGAACTTGTTTTCCTAAACACATAATTTGCAAGACAAAACATTATTAACCCATTTAATTTTTCTATAGATGTACTCTACGGTTTCCAAGTACCAATATCCGCCTATCGTTCCACTCGCTGGTCGACGACGGCTTGGACTCGGCGCCCAACATCCGAGAAGTGTCGCCGGTGCCCATCAGGGAGCGTACAGGAGGAGGTAGCTCTTCAGGCGGCGCAATGCACCCCCTGCGCATCAACATACCGGAAGGCGAGTTTGGCAGTCCATTTGGGTCGCCCACCGGTACTATTAGCGCGGCAAACAGTTGCCCGGTCAGTCCCAGAGGTAAAACTTGTCAACCGAATGGGTTGTTTTGTATTTGTTTGTCTTTTTTTAATTTAGCTCACCATGGTGGGAGTCATAGCAAGAGGAATGTACAAGCGGACTTACAAATGGTTGCTGCGTATGCTGCAGCTCAAGTTAGAGGAGATGAACAGCATGTTTCGCAGAGCCATAGTCCTGAATATAGACATCCTACTTCAAATGGGAATTCGGTAAGAATATTTCTTTAATAATATGTATCACCGAGGGGTGAATTACTCATGGAAATCACTGTACACTTTGCTGGAAATACTTTGGAAATACCTAGGAATGCTTGGAAATCCTTGGGAATATACTGGAAGTATATGGGAATACTCTGGAAGTACATGAGAATAATTTGGAAATACGTACATGGAAGTATTTGTAAATTTCTATAACTTCCAACCCCATTAACGTATTTTTGGCCATTTTCATTCAAATCTCAAGAATTGTGTGCATGTTCAGGTCACATACCCTTCCAATTTAATTTTGTGAGCTCTAAAGCCAAACTGTTCATCAATGATCAATGATGATTCAACAAATCAATGAGATCAGAGTAACAAGGTTTTGGAAAAGTTTAGAATCCACATTCAATCCATATATTGACAAGTTGCTAGAACTGAAAGATACATTGAAAATAGAATACGGAGGATAAATTACCAGAAAACTATAGAATTTTTGGATGTAAGATAGAACATACATAATCTGGACTAGGACCCTTGAATTTATGCAACTTAGTAACTTACAAGTTCCACCAGTTGTCAATTCCAGAAGTTATGACAATAACAATAAATTAAAAAGAAAAAAATGAAAGAAAATAAAAAGACAGGAAGAAGATAACAGACGAAAGAGAGCAAAGCAGGAAGTAGACAGACGATAAAAAGAAAAACTGAAAGAAGAAGAAACAAACAAATAGCCAAGACCAAGAAAAAAACCAAACCATTGAGAAAGACAAACATGAAGAATGATGGGAACAAAGACAGCAAAATATTGAAAGAAACTCTGGATTAAGTATTCCAGAACATTCCACATAAAAACAAAGATGATCCATCTAATCCAGGTTTAAACCACCTTGGAGTTATAGTGTAGAAGCATGTAGGATTCCAATGAAATTTTGTGTTAAATTTTGAACAAATAAGTGAAAAGTAGATTTTATGAGTAAACTGAATCCTAAAAATCTCAAGTCGATCTGATTCCTCAAAGTCTTTTTCAGGTTTTTTGAAGATGAAACTGGTCTCATTTATTTCAAATTTGCATTATTTGATGCAAACATCCTGATTAATAAATCCTGAAAATTTGAAATCGATCTGATACTCCGGAGTATTTTTCAGGATTTTTCAAAGGTGGTTTAACATGAATTTTCCATTTTTTTTCTAATATTAAGTTGGAAAAATCCTCATAATTTTATTGCTGAGCCTTAAATTGACTTCAAATTCACACAGTTTGATGAAAAGATCCTGGTTAATGAATCCTGAAAGTTTGAAATCGATCTGATACTCCGGAATATTTTTCATGATTTTTCAAAGGTGATTTAACATGGATTTTTCACCTTTTTTGGTATTAGGTGGGAAAAAATTTCATAATTTTATTTCTGAGCTTCAGATTGACTTCAAATTTGCCTTGTTTGATGAAAATATCCTGGTTAATAAATCCTGAAAGTTTGAAATCGATCTGATACTCCGGAGTATTTTTCAGGATTTTTCAAAGGTAATTTAACATGTATTTTCAATTTTTTTTCTACTATTAAGTTGGAAAAACCCTCATAATTTTAGTCCTGAGCCCTAAATTGACTTCAAATTCACACAGTTTGATGAAAAGATCCTCGTTAATGAATCCTGAAAGTTTCAAATCGATCTGATACTCCGGAGTATTTTTCATGATTTTTCAAAGGTGAACATAGATTTTTCACCTTTTTTTGGTATTAGGTGGGAAAAAATCTCATAATTTTATTTCTGACCCTTAAATTGACTTCAAATTCACCCTGTTTGATAAAAATATCCTGGTTAATGAATCCTGAAAGTTTCAAGTCGATCTAATACTCCGAAGTATTTTTCAGAATTTTTCTAAGGTGATTTAACATGAATTTTCCAACTTTTTCGGAAATCCAGTTGGAAAAACCCTAATTTTTGAGCTTCAGATTGACTTCAAATTTACCTTGTATGATGAAAAAGTCCTGGTTAATGAATCCTGAAAGTTCCGAATCGATCTGATACTCTGGAGTATTGTTCAGTACTTTTCAAAGGTAATTTAACATGAATTTCTCAACTTTTTCTGGTATTAAGTCGGAAAAAACCTTCTAATTTTATTTCTGAACTTCAGACTAACTTCAAATTTGCCATTTTTGATGAAAACATCCTGATTAATAAATCCTGAAAGTTTGGAATCGATCTGATACTCCGAAGTATTTTTCAGGACTTTTCAAAGATGATTTAACATGAATTTTCCAACTTTTTTTGGTATTAAGTTAGAAAAAATCCTATAATCTTTTTTCTGAGCCTTAAATTGACTTCAAATTTACCTTGTTTGACAAAAAGATCCTGGTTAATGAATCCTGAAAGTTTCAAGTCGATCTGTTACTCCAAAGTATTTTTCAGGCTTTCTCAAAGGTGATTACATGAATATTCCAGCTTTTTCAGGTATTAGGTTGGAAATATTCATACTTTTATTTCTGAGCTTCAGACTGACTTCCAATTTGCCATGTTTAATGAAAATATTTTGGTTAATAAATCCTGGAAGTTTGAAATCGATCTGATATTACGGAGTATTTTTCAGGATTTTTCAAAGGTGATTTAACATGAATTTTCCATTTTTTTCTGATATTAAGTTGGAAAAACCCCTCATAATTTTATTCCTGAGCCTTAAATTGACTTCAAATTCACCCAGTTTCATGAAAAGATCCTGGTTAACGAATCCTGGAAGTTTGAAATCAATCTGATACTCCGGAGTATTTTTCATGATTTTTCAAAGGTGATTTAACATGGATTTTTCACCTTTTTTTGGTAATAGGTGGAAAAAAATCTCATAATTTTATTTCTGAGCCTTAAACTGACTTCAAATTTACCCTATTCGATAAAAATATCCTGATTAATGAATCCTGAAAGTTTTGAAGTCGATCTGATACTCCGAAGTATTTTTCAGGATTTTTCAAAGGTGATTCAACATGAATTTTCCAACTTTTTCGGGTATCAAGTTGGAAAAACCCTCATAATTTTACTTTTGAGCTTCAAATTGACTTCAAATTTACCTTGTATGATGAAAAAATCCTGGTTAATGAATCCTGAAAGTTCCAAATCGATCTGATACTCTGGAGTATTGTTTAGTACTTTTCAAAGGTGATTTAACATGAATTTCTCAACTTTTTCTGGTATTAAGTTGGAAAAAACCTTCTAGTTTTATTTCTGAACTTCAGACTGACTTCAAATTTGCCTTTTTTGATGAAAACATCCTGGTTAATAAATCCTGAAAGTTTCAAGTCGATATGATACTCCGGAGTATTTTTCAGGACTTTTCAAAGATGATTTAACATGAATTTTCCAACTTTTTCTGGTATTAAGTTCTATAGGTTAGATGACCTTTTAGTAAAGCTAATAGGTCTGTTTCTGCAAGAACACAAACCAGTCAGAGCGAATTTCATTTGTTGAAAAAAGTCAGAAAACTAGTTTCAACCAATGAAATTCACTCTGACTGGTTTGTGATTTCTGCAGAAACAGACCTAATAATAAGTATAAAATAACTTTCTCATAAAGCTTAGGAATATCAGTAACTCTGGGAAATTTTGATTTGAGTTATTATAAAAACTCTTTTCCAGTAACATGGGGTTGACTTCTATCGCAGATATTTCTGGAAATTAAAATAACACTAGCACATAGAAAAGTTCTGCACAGAAAAGGCAATATGAAGAAAAATCATTTGGGAGATCATTATAAACGAATAAATGCATATAAATATTTTATGTATATTAAATTAATGGCGTAAAAGACTAGTTTTTTTCTAAAACATAAATAATATTCAATTTCAGAAACCTGAGTGTATGAGAAAATTCATATTAAAAACTTTATACATTATACAGTTTGCTTTTACGTTTCACATTTTACATCTACTTATTCCGCCAATATATATAGTTAGTTTCTCATAAGTATGGTTATGTCTATAGGTGGAAAATAAATGGATTTCCCATTTTTTTGAGGTGCATACTACCTATTTTCACACACTATATTATGTAACAACATCAGAGAGACTCTTCTTCTTGTGTCTTGATTTTGGAAAATTTCCCACAAAATGTAAAATAAAGCTGTTGTTTCACTGAATCCCTATTTTTGGAAATAGCTATTAGACCAGGAAAAACACGCCCAATGCGTTTTATTTACGTCGTAAATAACAGGCTAGAAATAAATTCATAATTTGTAATACTGCTGCGATAATTATTCGTGAATAAGGTAATTTTCCTGCGGTTGAGGGTCTAGGTCAATCTGACGAAATATAAACAACAAACCAACAATATTTTTCTACCTGACAACTATACAAGCTGTTATTAATTTTAATAGGATGTTTAATTATCAAAAAACAAAAATGTCTAACATTGAATGTATTTATTCTAGGCCCCCTCTGTAGTAATAAACGACGGAAATTACGTGGCAAGCGGAAGCGGCAAGGACGACTCCAAGCCACCCTTTTCCTATGCCCAGCTTATTGTACAAGCGATAGCCAGTGCCCACGACAAGCAACTGACCCTCTCAGGAATCTATAGTTATATAACCAAAAACTATCCCTACTACAGGACAGCGGATAAGGGCTGGCAAAATTCTATTAGACATAATCTTAGTCTGAATAGGTATTTTATTAAGGTAAAAATATTGCAAGCTAAAAATATCCATCGATTGAGTTTAATCTTCCATTATAGGTTCCTAGGAGCCAAGAAGAGCCTGGTAAAGGTTCATTTTGGAGGATCGACCCTCAATCAGAGTCTAAGCTTATAGAGCAGGCTTTCAGACGCAGGCGACAAAGGGGGGTTTCATGTTTCAGGGCTCCCTTTGGTTTAAGTTCGAGGTAAGTGCCAATTTCGAGTTTTTACAGCATAAAAGCATATCATACTAATGGATGGGTTAAAAATAAATATGCGTTGCTGAGTGAATTTGACTATGAATAATATAAAATGTATTTCCGCAAGGCCACCTCTTTTTTGAAAACATGAAAATGTGTACTTTTAAATATTGCTAGGTTTGTTCAGGCCTTGCAGGAAACAATAACAGTGGCTCAATTATTCATTATCAAGAGATGAAACCTAAAACTACTGATTGGAACACACTACATCTTGCTATCTATTTCTGTTTATGATTATTCTACCTGATAAAATTGAATGTCACAATAATTTAATCTTGTTTTGCTTGGCTATGTTTTGATTGTATTTATAGTTTGTTGCCAGAAATAATTAATGATTGGAGAATTTTCATTGAAAAAATATGTATCAGTATATTGGTTTCTGGAAAAGACGATTTTGTTTTCTCTCTCTCTTCATGATTTCTTCCTTATTCCTGGCGTCCTTTTGCATATTTATCTTACTACTTTGATTTTATTCTTTAAAACGTCCACCTTCCTCTCACATTCTCTAAATTTTATTTTCAATTCCTGATTTTTCTTTACAAGTTCCTCATATCTTCGCTGTTCCTTCTTTTGACTGACCAGTTCCTTTTCCATCCTCTGGATTGTTTTAGTAAGTTCTTCGGAATTTTGTTGTTTAGATTGAAGATCTTGTCTTATTTGCTGTAGCTTCATCTCTATTAATATTGTTTTGTTGTTAGTTTAATACGAATTATTTTTGTCCCAGTTACTTTTGCTGACGATAGTACCTAGACAACGTTTCTATAGTTGATTTCCTTTACAGGAAAGTTGACTCTAGTGATGCAAAAACCCTATGATTTGTTATTTTCAGTTCACCATAATATTATCAATATTTGTACTTATTGCAATGATCTATTATTATTATTATTATTGATTGTAATCTTTTGAAAATTCATGATTATTTTGAAAGCAAACGACTTCAAACAAGGGTTCAAACGTTAATGTAATTGCATCAAGAAAGACCATTAATTTTGTTGCAAGACCTGGCTACTGTTTTAGGGAAAATCCCTGGTTGTCCAATTCACTTATTAACATTATTTTGTTCAAACTAGGAGTGCACCGGCTTCCCCATCTCACCTGGGCATCTCGGACGTCATGACACCGGATTCGCTGTCCCGCGAAGGTTCCCCATCTCTGGAACACGGTCTCGACGTCAGCCAATCAGCGCCAGGCAGCCCTGGATCTTCTTCAGCGGCCCGTGCCGGTTCCGGCGGGATGATTGGGCACCAGCAAATGTCTGCGCTGGTCGGAGCCACCAAAGCTCGTCTGATGATGCCCCAGCACCATCAGGACCAGTATTTGGAGCAGCAGGTTATCGAGAGACCGTCGTCCAATGGACAACAGGAATATAGAGAAGGTAATGGTTGGAAGTTCACTAAATTGAAGTGAATTCTTATGTAGTTTACATCCTTAGAATATGGTTGGAATCTCTAAATTATGATTATTGCAAAGTTATCAGATGATGATTGCTTTTACTCTTCCAGGCACGATAATGGAAAAGTGCTTCATCAAAGCTTATGACGTTTTTTGGAAGATCATTACAAATATACAAGGTGTTTGGTACATCGATAGGAAGTTTTCAATGAGTGATAGTTGGGGTCATTTGGGATCTGTTTGACCAAAATGTTAAAATACATGGATTCAAAATATCTAAAAATGGCGATATCTCAAAAAACTGCGAAACTTTTCATTAGGGTAAATATGGTCAAACAGCTTCCAAATGACCCCAACCATTACTCATTGAAATATTCCTATCGATGTACCAAACACCCTGTATAATTTACCAAACTAAATTTAACAATAGAAACAAATTTATATGCATCCAAAACCTCCCTCACTGGAAATTTTCCAGAGAATCGTGGGACAAAAGTGAAAATCAAAATACAACGCACTTTCACATTGTTTCAGCCTTCTCAAAGGATAATAATGAAACACCGAAATTCGCTATACTATACTAGTGATAAACACGGCATAATGCTTTAAATATAACCAACCTTGTAGCTAAATTTAACTACTGTTGTTTCAAATAATTTTTTTGGTGTTTATTTTGTATACTTAATCCAGATAGTGACTGGCGCGTTTATTTTGCTTTTTACATTGTAGGATAATTTCCTAAATAATTATCCAAGCAGTATTTATTTTTTTTTGGCCTTTATAAATCAATGATTTTAAATATAGTTTATAACTGATTGTGTTGAAATTATTGCATAGCTGCTGTTTATTTACCTATCTTTCAGTGCAATTTGTATTTATCTAAGTGAAGGACAAATTTTAAAAGAAGAGTACAAAATGCCTAGTTAAATTAAATTAAAAAAATAAAATGTTCATTGAAAACTAAATATTACTGATAGTGAGTGTAAAAACGTAACCTTGCCAGAATTGCGTATCCTATCGTAAAGGACTTTTGACCTCGCTTTTTAATTAAATTACAATTAATTAATGATTTTTTCTCATTAGAACTTAACGGCTGATGCATTTTTTTTTTCTCTAAATTACAGAAAAGTTTCTGCCAGGAACATTGGAAGAACGTTCAATGTCGCCTGCATCCTTTTCACCACAGCCTGTTATTGTGCAAGCTGCAAATTACTCACCATATAGGTAAGTTTTGAGCTGATTTTCAGCCCTATATCCCATACAATAGGTCATAATCAGCTGGAAAAGTTAATGAAACACCTGAGTCTAATAGTTTAAGAAACCCTGCGTTTTTATTCTCATAAAATTTTACCGATGGATCCACCATTATATGGCCGCCATTGTCATTTTCCATTCACAAAGATAGCTAACTCATCGGTGAAGTCACCGATGAGAATAAAAGCGAGGGGCCCGTTGGGTTCAGAGCCAGTACAAGTATAGTCTTTTTAAAGTCAGTTGAAACAAGGTAAAGGTAAATTACAACTGGAGTGCGTTTAGAAATGGAGTGGGAAGGTAGAGTAGTTGTTTGTCAGAGTGTTCTGATGTCATCACTTGGAGTGCACTCTGGGTGCGCCATGGGTGCGCCATTTCTGAATATATTGGGGCGTTGTGGTAAATGTTAATAACCTTAAAATCACGTGAAACCTGGTAAAAACTGCGGGGCGTTTTTCAACCCAGGCCCTGAGTGGGGTAATTTAGGCGCATTCTGGGCACGTCAAGTCTCCATTTCTGAATGATTCCAGGGTAACGCTCCAAGTAAGCACCTGTTAATTTATGAACGGTTTAGAGTTACTCTAGGGTCATTCTCACACCCAGAGTACTTTTTTTAAACGCAATCCTGGTGATTAAATACTTTCATAAGAAATGCACTGCCACTATCCAGCCATCAGAAACTTAATAACACTATTGTCCGTCGATTTTATTCTGATACTCGGACGGAATGTGAGCTGGTGGCTCCCCCACATTAGAACGCTAATGATTACCTGACGTGCCATATGAAACACCCCCTTGCTCCTCATACGGAAAGTGTCAGTTAAAAATCGACGTACAATTTGTAGAACTTTAGAGAAAAATGAATTATTTATAAAAGAGGCCGAGAGAAATTGCTGGAACATCAATAAATATAACCACTTTAATCTTTGATACTTTCTGAACAAAAAAGCTCGGGTAGAAATTTTTGTCCGATGTGAAATAAAGTGGTGGGGGAGCTTTATCTTTTAACATTACAGTTGCGACCTCTAGCGGTTATCCTACAAACTTGAAAATAATTTTCAGCAATTTCTCTAGGTCGCTTTTATAAGCATTTTTCTAGTTCTAGTGTTATTCGTTTCTGAGATATAGCTAGTTATCTCCTTAGGTGAAACACCCAGTACATTACGAAAGTAGTTGAAGTACAAGTATCAAGTGAATATATTTAATAGATTCACTTGAAGTACAATCAAGCGGGGCCTGGGCCCGGATTCCAAACCCATGATTCGATAGTATCATCTATTTATTTTATATGGATGATACTATTAAATTGTGGACTCGGAATCCAGGCCCTGATTCCAAAATAGGTACAGGGTATTTGATTATATTTAAGCCCATACCTACAACCTTTACTATTTAATATGCGGTTAGAAATAATTGCCCAGATCTTTTGATGATGATTTGAGAAAATTGAAATAAATTATGTACCATTGGAAAGAGTATTAAATTTTCTATAAATCTGTGTAAAATTGAGTTTAATGGCTCAAATAGTTTTTGAGCAATTGAGCCTCAAAGTTGACATTTAGTCCGAATTTTGTCAAAAACTTCAAACTCATCAATTTGTTCAAAAACTATATATCTAAAAATATTGTAAATTACAGACCATTTAGAGCTTAATAAGAGCTACAAATGCTGAAAATGTCAATGCAATTTGCCCAATGGTTACCGAGCAATTGAGGTTTGAAGATGTAATTTTGACTATCTATCTCTTAGACAAAAGAATTCTGTCATAAAAGTGTCAAATACACATCGGAGAAACCAAATGATACCCGAACCAATAAAGTACCTACTTCAACTGTTCGGCAATGGCTTTTCTGAAATTCACTCCAAAAGTTTTACCACTCGCACAACAAATAATGTTACTCCACTTACTACGAATTCAATATTCGAAGCAGAGGAGTATAAAATAGTCAAAAAGAGTACAATTTCGAATGACATGTTACCCAAAGCCGTTTTCTCGCGTCCACTTTTTTCAAAACAGGTTTGAAACGGGCAATGGTAACACCATTGCCGTTTCAAAAAATGTTTCGAACCAATACCAAAAAAATTGGCAGCGAGAAAACGGCTCAAGTGCTAATAATCTTACGTAAAAAGAGTAGAATTTGGGTAGGTACTCTAAGTACTCCAAATCACTATACCGTTAAAGTTGTCCTAATATCAGGTGGGTTCGGCTTGTTCACTCCTTGCACTCCAAATGCCTCCATTAGCTCTGTTCTTACTCCAGTACAACTCCGCGCTGAATAGCCGAACCCAGCTTCGATTAAAAAGAGTATCAGAAGTTCAGAACAGAACTAGGAGCGTCTAGATGCTCTGACTGTCGGATTATGTTTTTATTCCAGGCTCTTGAATTTTCTTTATGTAGAAATATTTAGAAGAAACAACTAGAGCCGGGAATAGACAAAAAAGTACAAGTACAAGTACATAACAAAAAAAAGTAATTCAAGTAATAGTTATTTATGTATCAAGGGAATTATGCAGGTGTTAATACCCCAGGGCAACGTTTGTGTCCCGAGGGCCTCCGGCCCGAGGGACACCAATTGCCCGTGGGTATTAACTCCTGATAATTCCCGTGGTACATAGATAATTTTATATCCTACTGAATTTACTGTATTCTGTCTATTTTTATAAAGGAATAAGCCATAAATCAAAATTTCTATTTTTTGTCAAAGTGTTACCTATTCAAGGTAAAAGCGGGAGTTATGGAAATCCTTAACTCCCTTGGGAGTTATGATATCCTTAACTCCCTTCCTTAACTCCCTTGGGAGTTAAGACCCTGTTTATGATTATTGTAACCAAGGTATTATATGGTTTTAATAGTTCAGTAGGATATAAAATACTTAAACTACTTATATATACTTGGAAGTAAAATTTTCAAGTAGTTTACTTCAAATATTGACAGCTCTGGTTGGAATCATTGTCAATGAACTTTGGCTACGTTCACCAGAACCAAAACGGATTGTAAACAGTTTACAAATACCAACAGAATATGTTGGGTAAACTTTTGGTTCTGCTGAACGATTCATATTTTCAATGATAGTAGAACGTCACCCTTAAATTTAATGTCGTGTTACCAGAATTTAGTTCGGAATGGGATTTTAGTGTGGTGTTCGTGTAGTGCAGAGTTATATCACGTGATGCAGGTGTAATACCATCATTTTGTGTACTGAGTAGACGGTGTCCGACCATCTGTACACCATTCAGGCACCAAATTAATTCCAAACACAAATAAAGTGTTCACCAAACTTACTCCTACCAATTAACAAAACCCACAGTATCAATAATTGTAAAAAGTGTCGACACTTTGTATCATTCCGAACTCACCTCACACAAAACACTACGAGTTGTTTTTTCGCGGTGGAACTGGTTCGATTCGGTTCAATTAGGTTCGAACCTGTACATTCTTGCGTTGAATCCGTTGAATCAGTGACCTCACATTGAACCTTTCAAAGAAATTCGAACCGGACTCATGGCTTGAGGCATTTTCTCGCAGAGTGAATGTTTCGAACCACAGTTTAAACCAATTTATAGATGACGTCATCACTTGTGAACGCGAGGAAATGGAAGGTTTGAACACAGTCTTATGTCAACCGAGAACAAGCCAAGAGTCTAGTTCGAACTTCTTTGAACCAGGTTCAATGTAACGTCACTGGTTTAACGCAAAAGTGTACAGCTTCAAACCTATTTGAACCGTATCGTACCAGTTCCACCGCGAGAAAACAGATCAAATCTGTTCTAAAAATTGATGGAAAATCTGTTCCAAACTCATTTACTGTCAAATGAAACCCTGAACTAGATCACAATAAAAAAAAAATCCCGAACTAGTGTCCTAGAACACATTGAACCTATTCCATTTCTTGTTCGTAATTGACCTTTTCAATTTAGAAGCCTCTCTCTCTGGCGTCAGACTGTCAGATGCCAAAAGAGTATGAAAACAATGATTGACAGCTATTGACAGTGGTTTGTTGACAAGAGTTTTATATGTATGAGACTGGAAACTATTATTTCCTCGGTTTTTTCAAGGTTTTTTCCTAACAATGGTGATTGTGTGTAGTGTGCCTTTTCGTGAAAATCATTCCTGTTCACCGGCGGATGTGTCTTTCCATAAGTTTTTATCAAATCCTAGATTTGTCAAAATTTGGATACACAAAATCAGAACTGATACTCGCAAAAGTAAGGGAAATTCACGGCCCATCAAGTATACAAAGATATCCACGTTCAAGTTTAGTTTGCGGAAGCTGTTTACTTCCCACATTTTCATTCCAATTTCTAATTTCACCATTCTATGTCGGTCATTGTCATTTTCCATTCACTCAACAAAGATACCTAACTCATCGGTGGAGTCACCGATTAGAATAAAAACCAGGGGATTGCTAAACACCCTATACACTTGACATTGACGAGCAAGCAAATGTTGGCGGGAATCTGAATGTTTTCATACTTTATCGTCCATCTCTTTTAATTGAAAACGTCAATTCAATTAGAACCAGTTACAAACTATTTAAAGTTCAACTAAAATAAAATCAATTCCAAAACGTTTCTTTGTGTTCGACCGAATTAGTTCACAATCAAAAAATCCATAATTGCCCAATTTACTCTTTTTTATTCACAATTTATTTAGTTTGTTCGGACTCGGTTTAGAATCAGTCGTGAATTGAACTGCGCTTACGCATTTGTTCATACGGAATATACATATCAGGCAGTTCAATTCGAAACTGATTCTGATTTTTGAACGGGTTCTCAGAGTTCCAAGTACTTCGACTACTGTTTCGAACTAGAGAAAATCAGAACTGGTTCATTATTATACGCATATGATGCACAATTAATGTTCTTAAGCCCATTAAATTTACTCTGGTATTGATTTCAGATTATTTTTGAACTGGTTTTTAGAGTTCCGAGTAGTTCGATTGTTGTTCCGAGCTAAAAAAAATTATGAACTAAATTATTATTAAACGCATACGGTGCACGAGAATCCTAAATTAGTGTCCTGGATCACAATTCATTTAGAATCGGTTCCAGATCATTTCAGATTTGATTTTTAGAGTTCCGACTGCTATAATAATTGCTGTTCCGAATTCGGAAAAAACTAAACTGAATTGTATTGGAGCACATTGATTGTTCATAATTCAAATAAAATCGGTTCCGAATAGATATTGAAGTCTTGAACTAGTTCACAATCGAGCAATCTTTGATTTGTATTCCAGATCATTGTTCGCGGTGCAACTAGAATCAGTTCTAAATCGGTTTTATTTGTTCTTGAACCCAAAAACCTGTTCCGAACTCGTTTGCCTTTATACTCTTCAATATTTGAACTTACTCTATTTACTTCAAAGTAAAATACAATTTTGAACGATTTTCTTACTCAGAGTACTACAATAATATGGCAAATAGAGTAATTATTTTGAGTATAAGGAGGGAAAAAAATACAACTTTTTATTGGATAAACCTACTCTATTTACTCTAAAACAATAGTACGAGTAAACAGTTAAATTTAGTGCACTAAAACGAGAATTTCAGACCAAATCGAGTAGCTCTTATGTTGCCCGATTAGTTTCGAACATTAAAAAACCTACACTGGATCCATAATTGGTGTTCTTGAGGCAACAATAAACAGAATTTGAGTTAAAAAGCCGATTGGAACGAAATCTTCTCTGAAAAGTACGCAAACATAATCTACTAAATCCGAAAATGCCGATAATGTAGGCACCTGCAACGATAAATAGAATTCTATTTTAGTTAAGTCACTTGTCATTTTTGAAATAATTTTTTTTCAATTAAAGGCCTTTTTTTCGCGGGGCAAATGGTTCAAACTACGGTTTAAACCAATTTGTAGATGACCTCATCCGTGGTGAACGTAAGGAAATGGAAGGTTTGAACACAGCTTATGTCAACGGAGAACAAGCCAAGAGTCCGATTCAACGCAAGAATGTACAGGTTCGAACCAAATTGAACCAGATCGAACCAGTTCCACCGCGAGAAAACAGCTTTGTTTTCCGTTGAAATAAGACTATGATTTAAACATTCAAACCTTTCATTTTGTCGCGTTCACAAGTGATGACGTCATCTACAAATTGGTTTAAACCGTAATTCGTCCCGCGAGAAAACGCCTAAAGGCCCATCCTCAATCAATCTGGTAGCGAAGTGGCACTTCGGCACGCATGCTAGGACAATGTCGTTTAACGTTGGCATCCTCAATTCAATTCCGTGCTGGCATGCACGCCGACTCCGAAGTGCAAGCTTGCAAGCTTTTTCGATGCGTGCCGACTTGTGTCATGCGCAGTACGGTAAGAAATAGTTCAGGTTATCCTTGCGTTCGGTATTTTGCTCGAAGAGCAGAGCGTGCAGAGCGGAGCTGTAATCACGTAACCACCGAGCGCACAGAGCAAAACGCTGTATCAGAGGGCTCGAAATTTTAATAAACGAACGTGAATAAGCGTGCACCGACTACATTTTTTAAATAAACGAACGGAAAATTTATGCTCAGAGAACTCAGATCAAAATACCGAACGCACGGTTCGTGATCGTACGACACGCAGAGCAGACTAAAAATTGACAGCATTGAGAATGGGTATCAATTTCCCAGCACGCGTGCCGAAATTCCACTTCGCTACCAGATTGATTGAGGATATGGCTTAAAGTGTTGAAAATTATAAACACTTTTAGGCTGAAGGCTCATCCTCAATCAATTTAGTAGCGAAGTGGCACTTCGGCACGCAAGCTTGGAAAATGTTGTTTAACGTTGGCATCCTCAATTCAATTCCGTGCTGGCATGCACGTCGACTCCGAAGTGAAGTTTGCAAGCTGCCAGCTTTTTCGATGCGTGCCGACTGTCATACGCAGTACGTTTAAAAATTAATTTAGGTTATCCTTGCGTTCGGTATTTTGCTCGAAGAGCAGAGCGGAGCTGTAATCACGTGACCAGCAAGCGCACAGAGCAGTTAAACGCTGTAACAGAGGGCTCGAAATTTTAATAAACTAACGTGAATGAGCCTACACCGAGTACATTTTTTAAATAAACGAACGGTAAATTTATGCTCGGAGAACTCCGATCAAAATACGGAACGTACGGTTCGTGACCGTACTACACGTAGAGCAGACTGAAAATTGACAGCATTGAGGATGGGTATCAATTTCTCAGCACGCGTGCCAAAGTGCCACTTCGCTAGCAGATTGATTGAGGATGTAGCTTTAGTTTAGCTTTATACTCTGTAAACTCTGAGCGCGCTCGAAACGATAAGATCCTGTTCTTTTTAGCTCTCCAGAGTTCTTTTGTGTTGGGCTTATGACCGCGTATGACGTCACGAGATCCATACTCATACCGTTCTACTCCATGGAGTGGAAAGCCGAATTCAGCCTTAAATTGTGTTTGCAAAAATGGCGACCGTTTGTAAAACATGTTTGGTTTCAACCATTGAGGTTTCGACACAAATTCAACGTAGCGTTCAGCAGAACAATCGCAAAGCGTTTACCAACGTTTGTATCTGCTGAACGCGGCCTTTGTCTTATTTTTTTTTACAAAAAAATAGCTCTGGTTTCCTCAAATTAGATTCAGATGTAGAAGGCCATCTTTTAACCAAATGCTTAGGCATATAAAAACCTCTAATATTTTTTTTCCTTTCAGTGGCAATAACAGTTATATAGGATTAGACATTAAAAGACACTTGGAAGAGCAAAGCGTGGGCAGCCCGTCGAGTTCCGGCGAAATGGACGGTCCGGAGATCAAGCGGCAACGTCTTTTGGAGCCCAAATACGAGACAGAATAGATCTCCTTTATTATTTATAACGTTAAACATCTGTAGTTTTCGCCCAAAGATACTGAAATGGTCTCAGAATCTACGGCTATAGTATCATTCAAAATTTGATTCCTACTTTTCATGGTTCAGAAATAAAAAAATTCAGTTTAGATTTTGAGACCATTTGTTCCCAGATCAGCAAAGTTAACAGTATGTATGCAAAAGTTTCCTAATAGTAGTTATTATTATTTGTCCCTCTCCTTTCTAATCACAGCACACAATAAATGCGATGTTGCCACTGCTATTAAAACATATAGGATCTTTAGTTCAGATGTTGCTTTTTAGACTTCTTTTGACGCAAGGTATTTGTTTCATTTAGATAATTGTGGTACGGCAATAAAACTGACGTATTTATTGTAAGGGATCAAGAAATAATTGTAACAGCGGTACCGAGTTTTTTTAGGTAGTTTCTCAAAGAGTTAACTGATAAATAGGTAAATTGGAGCTGAATCCGCATCAATTTGCACGACGTTAGTCTTTAAACTTTTTACAGAATGCTTTTTTAATTAGAACAACTTTGTACATAATTTATAAACTTGTGAAAGATTAGCACAAAATTTAGGTAAATAATTTTCCAAATCCGTGCAATATTTTCAATTATTATTTTGGTGTGTTATTTGGAAAATTTTAAATATACTTCTTTGTTAGTATTAACTGGAAACTGTATGTAATTAGGTGCCTTGGTTCAAATTTAAATAAAATACAGAACCTTTTGTCTGACGCATTATGAATTCATTCTTATAGGAATCATGTGATCTAGAATTGATGTAGTTCCAGGGTTAAATGAATTTTAGTTAATTTAGACGCATTTTTTTCCCAAGTGTTTTTTTATTAAGTTACTTTATTTTGGTAGAATAGTTTTTTTGCATGATTGAAACGTATACATTTTGTAAATAATGTTAAATGGTTTTGTCAAAAAAAAAAAATTAGCAAAATTGTAAAAAAAAATAATGTGGAAGTACAAAACTCGCACCAAAAAACAAAAAAAAACTTGGTAACATCCATTTATCTACAATCTACACAGGGTGTCTCGATAATAGAATAATTGTTATTTTCTATAATAGAGCGTCTTGTAGTGGATAATAATAATAAATAAATAATTTTAAGGATGCTAGATCGGGAGCACTTTTGTCCTTAGAAGTAATTTTGTGCCGCTGACATGGCTGAAATCATTCAGATTGATTCTTTCAATATTTGTGTCTCTATATTATCCTTAATAATTGTAAATAAGCAGTTCTTACAATACAGGTGTAAAAGCTGTTTGTACTCATCCCCAACATTTTTTCTGGACTATGAAATGGTCTTTTACTACAGTTAGTTATGATGTATACAAACTTATTAAATGTAGGGTAAAAATAAAAAAAAGAAATAAACAAGTATAATAATTGCTGTGAAATGTTAAGTTATTTTTATCCATCCCCATGTGAAATTGGTAATAAACTTGTAACCTTCTATAAACCCATCTGGAAACTTCCAAAATGGAAAAGTTCGTAGCTCCTGCTAGAATTACAAGTAAAATATCTACCTATGGATTTTATTGTTTGATTGATTTTCCACGACTGCTAGCAGCATCATCTAGGAAGCAGCAGCAAAACTACTGCTGTTCAGAATAGAAGTTTCAGGAAAATAAAAAGATCTAAGACTGAAATGAAAGTCCTTACGTGTAACAAAACAATAATTTTATTTGTTAATGTTCAATTTTACATTTTTTTATAAAATTTTTGAATTTATTTAACGAAGTTGTACTTTTCTTTATTCTACTTAATTTATTTATGCAGGATGGCCAAGTACATAATTCATTATATTAGTAGGTTGGAATGGGAAAATATGTTTTTTTTTTTTTGAAAAATCAATTTTTTTATTTAAAACTACTAACTTTATAAATAAGTATAATAAATTAATGTTTATTTTAAATCATTCACTCTTTTGTAGGAGATTCCACCTTGCACCCTAATGCCTATATGGTTTGTTTTCTTTGCATAATTTGATTTAATAAATAGTGGAAGAATACATACTGTCATGAAAGTGAACTTTCTCTCTAACGTTATCAGTCTTTATTATAAAGAAAAACTTAAAAACTACAATTTTTCTAATGCAAAGTTTCACTTGCATGACAGTACTGGGATACACAAATTAATATAATGAACACAATTTAGCTGATTTTGACTGTTTAATTATTATTGTACAAATTACAACATAAAAAAATAAAAATTTGGTGCAAATCTCTTGTCTCACACAAATTCTATTTGGTTGGATTCAGGTTTAGGGAGAGAACATTTATTTTTATTCTAGGATGTCTTTATGTTTTAGGAATGTTTTGTAAACGCTCTCTCGATCTTTAATAAACTAATTTTGTACAGGAGAAGAGTGGGTTGCTTTATCGGACTATTACAGAGAGCACTGTGAGAACTAATATGGCTAATAACGAATTATTTTCTATTGTGTTCGATGACGAGGACACTAGTCCGCACTCTCTATGGCCGTAGTTTTGACAATGGAGCTGGAACAAAAAGAAAATGATATTAATGGAAATTGTTACAATATTTATAGAGATTTTTTTTGCTGAATACATAGTCAGATGACAATTATTCAAGAACTGTACAGAGTGTTTTTTTATGTATTGACACACCACCTACAGCTTTTACCTTCACAGGTAGATGAAAGGTGTAAATACAAAAGTACAGTATTGGCTAAATTTTTAGAATATATGGTAAGAAACAAAAATTGAATATCAGAAATGTGGAATATTGCATGCTTTCAGTTTTTTTCAAATGGGATGCCCTATATAGTATGTCTATATTTGGTTGAGCCCTCTCCAACATATTTGGTTCTAGAAACTTTAAAAATACTATCAGAAAAACCAAGAACCTCAAATTTTACCTGCAGCTTTCACCTGTACAGGTAGAATGGTTAACAAAATCAGTAGTAGGATAGTATTTTTACAATTTTTGGAGCCGAATATATGAGATATTGCTCAATCAAATATAGATCGGGGTATTGTGCTCTTCAAAAATATAGAATAAAATATAAGGCATCCCACTTGAAAAAAGCTGGAAGCATGCAAAATTTCACATTTCTGACATTCAAATTTTGTTTCTGACCATGGTTTCTTAAAATTCAGTCAAAACTGTACAACTTTTGTTTGTCGTCTACCTGTAAAGGTAAAAGCTGTAGGTGGGGTGTCAATGTATAAAAAAACACCCTGTACAAATAAGTGGATTATTGCGGAACTTATGGGTGGACCTCTGCGGGACAAGCTTAGCGAGTTCCGCAGCCATCTACTCACCAATATACTGTTGAACTGTTCAAATAAGACACTCACCTGAAACGTGTAGTTTTTGAACTAATGAGAAAAATTCACAACTGAGTGAATCAGGTTAGTATTGTACTTGAATAACATATTGGTGAATAGATGGCTGGGACCACCCATAAGTTCCGCAACAATCCACTCGTTTGTACTTGAATAACTTGTCACAATATAATACTAGTTTGGTAAAATAACATTACTAATTCCGTTAAAAGGCAAATTGACAAAAAGTGATGAACAGAAAAGTTATCTACAACATACAGGGTGGACAATAAAATAGTACAATTTTTAACAAATTTCAGGATGTCGCCATTTCTTTTCAAACATACTCCTGCTTTTTTTCTGGGTTTAAGAAGAATCAGTAATTCAATGGTAAAAAACAACTTGAAGGGTTTTTGAATAAATCTTGCAGTTTTGCAGAAATTTCAGAAAACGACTTTCATCACCCTGATTCTTTGTCTCAGTTACTCGAAACAATTTTTTTTCATTATTGTTGGTTCAACGTTTCCATCTTTCTTTGTTTTAAGAAGATTTTATACAGGGTGAAAAAAAAAGTAAGTATACTAATTATTGGGTGGTCCGTAAAGATAATTGCGCCTCAGAGTAACTAGAGACAGTACGCGCCGTAACACTTAACATGTAGGTACTGCGATTTATAGGGAGCACAGTCCTTTTTGTCTATTGATAGGCACCAATCTCTGCTTTATTAAGCAATTTTTCGCGACGATAATCAAGTATAATCGATTATGCTGGATTATGTGATGTGTCAATTGTGTCATACCCTCCTAACTTCACCATCAAATTCTGGGATACTTGAGGATCAAGAACACCTAATTTGTGTGAACAGACCGAAAATCAACTTTTCTACATTTAAAATCGACTCACTAGCACAGCCTGAATCGCAATCATTCCATTGAGGTCTGCGGGTGACGTCAGCACTATAAGCTGCTGATAGTGACGGAGAGTATGGCACAATTGACACATCACAAAACTTAGCATAATCAGATCATGCTTGATTATCCTCGCGAAAAATTACCTATTGTATAACGATTCTGAGAGCAAAATATGATTATATTATGTTTCCTAGGTGGAAAAGCTATTCTGTTCTCGAGACTCCGAGATATTTGGTGAATTATTAGCACGTACCATGTACCCATTAGAAAATTTATTCAGGAGAGGTGAAAAGTACCGGAACGGTTGAATCTCTTTCAAACCCGCTTACAAAACCTGCATTCTCATATTTCGTTATCCAGAGGTTTCCGGACATACAAAATTCAATGATATCGGCACTGCTGCCAGATCTACCAGCTTTGCCCTACATCAGTGTCTAATTTCGTTTGCCCAGAAACCTCCAGTTAACGAAATTTGGGAGAGCAGCATAAGTGGGTTTGAAGAGATTCAACCGTGGTATGGGCAAAATGGCGCATGGTAAATTCGTGACGAGAAATTTTTGGAGTGTTAACAGAGGATAGGTATTTTTGTAACAAGTACCTAAAATAAGGTTTTTCGGCAACCGTTCTGAAAGTACATACTTTCCGAACGTGGTTTACTTAAGAAAGTATGCCTTTTTCAGCCTAGGCCAGGATGTGATTACTTAGGCCAAGAAGTGACTATTTTCCGACCTTGTCTGGAAAGTATGTTCTTTCCGGCCGAAAAAATAGTATAGGTAATACAAAGTGTTTTTTCGGACTCGCAGACTGGATTCTTGTCTACTCGTCCCAAAAAACAGTACTTTCCGGACTCCTCACGCAATATACTATTTTTGATGAGTCTAAAAAACTCCAAAAATTGATTGAATTCCGTTGACAAAAATGTGAAGTAAATGTGACATTAAAAATTTTAAACTGATTACGGATTGGCATTGTTGTGACAAGAGCGCCAGGTAAATTGCTTTCTAATTGCTATATAACGACTTTTAGGGACTAAGCCGAAAATTAAGCATTTTACGGACTGAAATGGGTCCGTAAAATGGACATTATAATGTCTGTTCCAATCCGACATGAGAACGTTTATCCTAATTGACAAATGAATTGATCGACTGGAAATTACCGTTCTAGAACGGTTCTCATGTCAATTGGAACAGACCTTTTGAGAGCTAATACACGACTGAGATTGACAATTGACAATATTGACACGAGTACTAGGAGTCGGAGGCAATGAACTATAACCAAAAACTGGAATGCTAACACATAAGGACGAACGTGAAGCCTAGTGCGGCTGCTGCGGAGGGGATACCTGTTTTTGTCGCACTCATTATGTTAAATGGCGAAAATTGCTTCCAACACGTATTCCAATTGATGAAACCTGTGAAGGGAAATATGACAAAACTTTCGAAAACGTCATATGACAGCGAGCAACAGAAAAAAACAACATTCCCCTTTGTGGCATCTGTCTTTCATGGCTACATTTTTTTGGCAGATATGGCAATGTGTGCGCATTCCAGTTTTTAGCTAGAGTTCATTGGTCGGAGGACTGACTGAAAAGAAATCTGTAGAGATCGATATTACAGTTTTCTGTTTCGGTTTAAAAACGCCAATGCGAATATTGCTTGGGCGGGCGTAAAATGATTTTTTTTTTTATTTTCTTGTATGTTGTATCCAAAAAGCGACAGGACAAGCCGGGCCCCTTCGGGGCCCGGGCCCTTGTGCGAGGCACGACTTGCACGACCTGTTGCTACGTCCCTGCTACGTGCTAATGATCCACGAAATATCTCGGCGTCTCGAGAACAGAATAGCTTTTCAACCTAGGAAACATAATATAATAATCATATTTTGCTCTCAGAATGGTTATACAATAAAGCAGAGAAAGGTTGGTGCAATATCAATTTACAAAGAATAGTGGTGCTGCGAGACGAGACTTAAGGTTGGTCTCGTCTCGACATCTCGAGTACCAAAGTCTCGTCTCGTCTCGAGTTATACAGGGTGTCCGGAAGAATGCGTGAAAGTTCTTCACTATGTGGTGGAGGACAGTTTATATGGGATTCTATCAAATGATATAAAATTTTTAAAAATTACATGTAGTTTCGAATAAATCACGTAAAATTTCAAAAGAAAATACCTACGCGCAATTCCGTCAAGAATAAATGGAATGCCGTTAAAATTATATTTAATTCCAAGAAATGAAGGGTTACTTCAGTAAAAAAGTATGGAATTCTATGGAATGACGTAAAATTTTTAAAAATGACGTGAAATTTCAAAAGAAAATACGCGGAGTTCCTTTAAGAATACATGGAATTCCATTAAAATTACATTTAATTCCAAGAAATGAGGTGTTACTTTAGTGAATTTATATGGAATTTGGAATTCCATAAAATGACGTGATATTTTTAAAAATGACGTGGAATTCCGAAGAAATTGCGTAAAATTCCAAAAAAGTCGGGACTAGACGAAACCAGTCTCGAGTCTCGCGGTATCACTATAACAAAGAAAACTGTGCCTCTTATAAATCGCAGTACATGTTACGTATTACGACGCGTACTATCTCTAGTTAGGTACTCTGAGACGCAATATTATCTTTTTCTACTGACATTTCATAATAGATACGCTATTAAACGATTAAAATCTGTATCATAATGAACTTCATTACGATACCGATTTTCATTATAATACTCGTTTTTAATATTATACAATGTTGATAGATGGCAGCACTAGGTAAGATATTAAACATTTTAAACGGCAATTTTGCGTAAAACAATTATTTTGATAACTATAAAAAAGACTCCGAATTGTTTAAAAGTTACCTAAAGTTTGGGACAAAGAATAATTATTATGGAAATCATGAATGATAAGGAAGAATTTTTACTTAACTCACCAATATACTGTTGAACTATTCAAATAAGATACTCACCTGAAACTTGTAGTTTTTGAACTAATGAGAATAACTGACATTTGAGTGAGTCAGGTTAGTATCGTACTTGAACAACTTATTAATGAATAGATGGCTGCGGAACTCGCTGCGCTCGTCCCGCAGTGATCAACCTATAAGTTCCGCAACAATCCATTCGTTTGTACTAGAATAACTTATCACATTATGTTACTAGTTTAGTAAAGTAACATTACTAATTCCTTATATGGATTTCTATTCTATTTCTTAGTCATAGATCGTGTTTTTTGTAGTAGTGAGGATTACCAAAAAAGTACATGAAGTTCATAAAAAGGTAAAACTGGCAAACGTAATCAAAGCCTTTTTCCGCATAATGTATACCGCACCTGAACATTGGAAAAAGGTGTATTTTGCATTATCAATATCCTATAATGAACATCTCTTTATAATGTGATGTTCACATGCATGTTTCAGATATTCAGAAACATCACATGAACAATTAGATCTTGTTCCAGAAATAAAATTGGTAAGTAGGTAGGTATTTGAGTATCCCCAGCAAAGAAAAGTTGTATTTATGTCTCTATGATTTATGTGAACTCTTCCTAAAAATACAAATATATTTCAGGAATATTCATGTAGGAGAGATGTTCAATATACCTACTTCAGGAAGATCTTATCAAAATGGGAAAAGCTTTTGTCTTCATAGAAATGTTCTATTAAATTGAAATGATCATACCTACAAAAAAAAAAAATGGTTCAACCATATTATCCGTTCACAATCCGATGTCCACAGGTACAGGTAAAATGTATCACCTTTCAATGCTATTTGATAGGGAAAGATGATAAATTTACCTGTACCTGTGGACATCGGATTGTGAATAGGATTATAGGTATTAGTCCTTGTCAGGTAGTTACCAGTAATATGTGGTATGAAAGAGCAGGAGTGATAGACATAGTGACGAAATGAGTTCAGTTTAGCTTGAAATAAATCTTTGAAACTAAACTAGTCAAAACGAAATAAGGACCACTTTTGAAAACCCATCTATTTTTAATGAATTTTAAATAACCCTGGTAAACTGTTTATTTCCATTCACAATATAAATTTTTTGTGCACCCTTTATTTCTTTATCGATACTTATTGTAAATGGAAATAGTCACTTTACCAGGGTTATTCAAAATTTAATGAAAACCTGCTTTTAAAAGTGGTCCTTATTTCGTTTTGAGTAGTATATATTTCGTTGATTCCAAATGTCCGAACCTTACATGGCGCTGCGGACAGGAAAAGTTGTGAAGAAGAATTTTTTACAAAATACGTGAGTATTTCGTCGTAAAGAAAGTTAAGTCAAATTCGTTCTTATGGTTCATTTACATTCACTTCAAAGTCCAATTTGTCTTGAAATTGACGTGCTTGCCATATGGCGACAGCACAGATCCATTTACATTGAAATAAATTTGAAGTTCACTTCGAAGTACACTTCAAATTAGGGCGAGCTGCTTTCCGAGGGCAAGCTGAAAGTGAAATGTCAAATTTTTAAATTATCCATTTGATTCTCATAAAATTCTGACGTTTTGACTTGACGTTTTTGTTCTGCAATGTAAATAATAAAATATCAAACGTCAAATTTAACTTGAAGTTGGAAGTGAATGTAAATGCTCCTTTAATCCCACGTTTCCTAATTAAAATAAGATGGAAACTTCACGACAATCCAAAGAAATGTCTCTTGAGGGTGATATCCCCACAAATTTTAAAAAATGAAAACAGCAATCCATTATTTATATAAATGCCTCTGGTTTGAAAGGTAACAGCTGAAAAGAAAGCTGCTATTTTGCTATATACAATTGGAGCTAAAGTACTAGAAAAAGATCAATATGAAGACCGAAATCTAAGTGGAAATAGCTTTAGAACAAAATCAGAAAATAGAGTTGATGAAAAACAGTGTGGCAATTGTGGATAATTCAATTCATGGTTCAAGATGTCCCGCATATAGAAGACAATGTAAAGCATGTAACAAGTTTGGTCATTTTCAAAAGTACTGTCGTGAAAAAAGAAACATGACTCAGAATGTATACTTATTCAGTAGAAGCTGACGATGAAGAGCGAAAAATGTTTATAGGCACAGTTCAGAAAGTAGGACAAGAAGGTTTAGTTGGCTGGATGAAAAAAGTGATGGTCAATAATAAGGAAATTTGTTTCAAAATGGACACTGGTGCTGATGTTAATGTTTTGAACTTGAGAACTACTAAAGAACTTAATGCTGAAGTTCAGTCATCCAATACAAAGCTATTGAACTATGAAGGCTCTTTAATGGGTGTTTATGGACAAACTACACTTATCTGTGAAACTAATAATAAAAAACACAATGTAGTTTTCATTGTACTCAACTTTAATGCTCCATGCATAATTGGTCTTCCATTTATTGAGATGTTTAATCTGCTAAAGACAGTAGGATCGGTAGAACAGGAAGATAAATATGTGATTGATAGTCTAGTAAAAAAAAAGTCATATTTTTCAAGGCATTGGTGAATTGACAAATTCATATAAAATTCTTTTGAAGAAAAAGGTAGAGCCAGTTGTAGAAACTCCAAGAAAAATTGCAGCCTCAGTCTTCAGCAGTCAGTTAAAAGTAAGTTAGATAAAATGGAGAAAATGGGCGTTTTGAGAAAAGTGACTGAACCAATTGAATGGTGCAGTTTCTATGGTCATTGTAAAAACGCCAGACAAATAGTCTTCGAATTTATTTAGATCCACATAATCTGAATAAAGCCATAGTACGTGAGTGGTATCAGCTTTCAACTTTTGAGGCAATTGCATCCATGATGGAAGGAGCAAATATTTTTTCAATACTGGACGGCAATAAGGGCTTTTATTAGATCAAGTTGCTTACGACATTTAATGTTGGGTGTTATGGGCGATATTGTTATAGGAGAATGCCTTATGGACTGTGCTCTGCACCGGAAGCTTTTCATCGTACATTCAAGAATATTTTTGATGGACTTCCAGGAGTGGAAATTTACATAGATGATGTCATAGTCTAAGCAGCGAATAAAGAAGAACACGCCAAAAGACTGGAAGCAGTGTTAGACAGAGCTAAACGTGCCAATGTACGTTTCAATCGACTCGAGTGTAAATTCGGGTTAGGTGAAGTACGTTATATAGGCCATGTGTTTACAAAAAATGGTTTGCGCCCTGATAAGGACAAGGTGAGTGCTATTTTGCAATTAAACAATCCAAAAACATAAAAATGAACTACAGATTTTGCTAGGAATGATTACCTATGTATCGAAGTTTTTGCCCAATTTGGCGGATGTTACCAGCTCGATGAGACAACTGCTTAAGAAAGATGTAGAGTTTATTCGGTCTGATAAAGAAACATCTGATTTTGAAAAACTTGATCACATGTGCACCCGTACTAAAATATCATGATGTCAATACAGAGGTTATTTGTCAGTTGATAGCAGCAGCCAAGGCTTGGGAGCTGTGCTGTTACAGAATAATTTGCCTGTAGCCTATGCCTCTCGAGTAATGACTGCCAATAGTGTATACGGATGTGAGAAATTCCACCAATATGTTCATGGAAAAGTAGTGGTGGTTGAAGGTGATCATAAGCCTTTGGAAAATAAATTTAAAAAGTCATTGAATGACACACCATTAAGATTGCAGAGGCTGGTATTTCTAGGTAGTAGGTGGTAGAATTATTAAAAAAACAGAATTTTTTTAGAGATTATGTTTCTTAAGAACTTATTGTTTTTTAGATGTTTTTGTTATTTTTATAATAGTTTATTGCTTTTTATTTTTGTCAATATTATTTATAATTTCTAGACATATTACCAAAAATATGTGGTATGACAGAGCGGGTGTGACAGATATAGTGACGGAATTAGTTCAGTTTAGCTTGAAATAAATCTTTGAAACTATATTTTGTTTATTCCAAATGTCCGAACCTTACAGTCTTCACAACATTGAACATGTTGGTTGTTCAATTATTTATTATTCTGTCTTTGTTTTTGTTTGTTCTTTTACCTTAGTTGCAAAAGAATATTATACTAGTTACCTAGTCTAACCGCGTATTCAAAATAATATCCTCATAAATAAAGCACCCACACAGACATCTATGCCATTTATTTGTATTTATTTTATAAAATAGGTAACGAACGTGCCATATCCATCCGCACATTTTATTTATTTTCCCCTATTATTATTACCATTATACGTGCATTATCCATTATTTGAACAAAAACCTAATATTTGTTTTCCGTGTCCTAAATGTAAAAATTAAATGTAGAGTAATGAAAAAAATTCCTGCAAGGGTCAGCATTAAATTTACACTTATCTCTTCAAATATGCTGGCCATTTTTATGCAAACTAGGATAATTTTGGGTTGAGTTGAAAATATTTACCTGTATCATTGAAGATGACATTTTGTCTAGGAACTTTTTACTAAACTCGGCTGCTTCTGATCCACATTCTCTGCCTGTTACTTCCGTAGAACATTGCACGTATTCTTGAAACGAACTAAAAAAAAAAAAAAAACTTTTAGACAAAAGCTGCATTTTTAAATTGTCTTTTAAAACAAACAACTTTATTACAGAAAAATGTTTTTCGTCTAAAATTTTCATAAAAGTAGGTATTTTCAATTTTAAAAATATTTTATTTATTTTACAAAGTGAGTAATTTTATATTTTCCAACTAATATTTGTTAAAACCGTTGCTTTTCTCAAAAATAGGTAATTAGTTTAAAAGCGGCTTTAATTCTCCCCTCAAACTAAACGAAACTAAAATTAAAACAGCCCACCAAAAAAAAAAAAAGCTAAAAGACTTTTTGCCCAGATAGTTAAAATTTTTGGCCCGAGTTCAAGGGGCTTTTAAGAGCTCAGCGATATTAGATTATTTTTAAATGGCCCGTGTACACAATGATAAAGGGTTAAGTTAATATTGTAAAGGGCCGCGTTGAAACCTTAAAATTTCCATTTTATTATATCATTGTTTTCCACTAAATCGAAAATTGCACAAATAAATTCCTATCAAACGCACTGGGCGTGTAGTTTTATCAAAACCTGTAAGCAATAACAAACAATTGGATTTTTTTTTTGTATTCAGTATTCAAATTAAATTCTCAATTATCGGTAATAGAGAGTCGTTTTTTGTTTTTGTTTGAACATTTCCAGCATTTATAAAGTTTTCGTCGCGGCAACGCATTCCTAATTTGAAACATAATTCATGTTTCGTGTCTCGGTTTGTGCGGTTCGACCTCAAACAAACGGTTTCGACAAACTTGGGACTGAACTGGTGTTCCAGCAAAGTTTCGGAACTGACATTAATATGATTTAGTTTTTGTATTATACTTACAGGGTGGATTAAAAGGGGATTTGTAGCGTTCAAATTAAAGTCAGAGACTAATTTTAAGTTTAGTTCGTTATCAATCAAATATCCCAGTAAACAGATCTGTTACATTTACGTAAAGTTTCTATTTGAGATATTTTTTTTAGCAGCACTAGTTTCATATAAACTAATAGGTCAATTCTGTGCCCATCTGTAAGCAAATCTATAACTTTCTATAGGCATATAGATATCTGTAGCTTACAGAAAATCTTATAGAATCGTGAATATTTCCAATTTTACAGTGTGTTGGATTTTCATGGTATGCAGGCATTATTAGGTATTAGGATAACATATTCGCAGTTAATTCCCTGGAGGGATAATGACGTTTATACGAATGGTCCAGAGTGGATCACTGATATGGATTTGATAAACTACAATCAATTGGACCTTATCTTATGTATCTAATATAAATAAAACCATTCTTATGAAGTGTTGGATCATATCCATACAAATTATGTAAAACAAATAGAAGCATTATTAAGCAATTTTATTTTCAAGATTGACTGTCATATGGGCAAGGTACTACATAAGTATATTATAGTTCTCGTACCCTTGCAACAACGATTCAAACTGAGGTTGTTGAAAGAAAATTGTGTTTAGAGGATATTTAATGAGATGCACTTTCCAAGATTTCAAGTACCTACTTGTTTCTTGTCAAGTCTTGAGTTTGGGCAAACTTGCACATAAACTTGCTTTTAGCTTGATGGAATTGGAATCCTTTATCCTTTCAACCACAGATGCTGGAAGACTTGACCGACAAGGTAGAAATGAGACAAGTCTCGATAGCTCAGTTGGTAGAGCTTCATACCTTTTACCTTGCAGATCATCGTGAACTATGGATTTACTTATTCGTAGAAGTTTTACGAGTGAACCCGGAATTGAACAATAAAAGTTTATAAATGTTTATATGTAATGTTAACCTAAAGTATCAAATATAGCATTTACATAACTGAATAGTGTACATTTCATATTAATTTAAAATTTTGTTGCCTCTTCTGTCTCTCTAAGGCGTATGCAAGAAAATGTTATTTTTGGAAATCAGAAAAACTCCCAACTTGTAACTTTCGATTAGGGCTGCAAAAAAGGTTATTCAAGACAATGACTTCGTTTTCAAATACAGGGTGTCCTTAGATAAACTGATACATTTTACAGGTGAATATCTCGAAAACGAGAAAAGATAACGGGATGCGGTTTGTGCTGGAAGAACAAGGATTTTTTAAAGTTTTTTTTCGTGTTATTTACGAATCCTGGAATTTGGTTTTACAGACATTCGATTTTTTGAAATAATTACATACTGCCTTATTCTTAATGAAACACCCGGTATATTTTTATCATCGTCAAAAAGCGTGACTTTTCTTCTTTACAAAAATGTATAACTTTTTTCAATTATCTTTAAATTACATCTCAAAAGTTGCACTTTGGTAAAAAGGGTACCATCAATTGGCCAAAAAAAAAGAAATACTTCAAATAATTAGAGGGACTTCAAACTTTCAGGACTTATTGAGTATTGTCTTTTTATCAAACAGAACAAGCCGCGAATGGATATCAGGCTCAGAAATGGAATTATTAATTTTTTCTCATTTAAATGCAAAAAAATCTTCAAATATTTCTATCAAACCACCTTTGGAAGCTTCTGAAAAATACTTCAAGCAATCAGAGGGACTTCAAACTTTCAGGATTTATTAAGTAGTGTCTTTTTATCATACAGAAAAAAACACGAATGGATATCAAGCTCAGAAATGGAATTATGAATTTTTTCTCATTTAAATGCAAAAAATCTTCAAATATTTCTATCAAACTACTTTTGGAAGCTTCTGAAAAATACTTCTAGTAATCAAAGGGACTTTAAACTTTCAGGATTTATTGAGCAGTGTATTTTTATCAAACAAAACAAACCGCGAATGGATATCAAGCTCAGAAATGGAATTATGAATTTTTTCTCATTTAAATGCAAAAAATCTTTAAATATTTCTATCAAACCACCTTTGGAAGCTTCTGAAAAATACTTCAAGCAATCAAAGGGACTTCAAACTATCAGGATTTATTGAGTAATGTCTTTTTATCGAACAGAACAAACCTAGAATGGATATCAAACTCAGAAATGGAATTAAGTATGAATTTTTTCTCATTTAAATGCAAAAAATCTTTAAATATTTCTATCCAACCACCTTTGGAAGCATGCATGTAATTTAAAGATGTACATGCACCTTGCTGAAGAGTGTTCCATCGGCTGGCTAAAAAAAAAATGATAATAATTAATTATTTGTGTTTAATACTTGTATTATTAGTTAACTATGCACTAATTAGTTAATAAAAGTATCTAACAAAAATTAATTCTCAATTTTTTGTTGATTAGTCGATGGTATTCCCTTTGACAAAGTGCAATTTTCACGATGCAAGTTCAAGATAATTGAAAAAAAATTATACATTTTTGTGAAGCAGAAAAATCAGGCTTTCTGACGATGACAAAATATACAGGGTGTTTCATTAAAAATAAGGCAGTCATTTTATTTCAAAAAATCGCATGTCTGTAGAATCAAATTTCAACAAATTTTAGGATTCGGCAATAATGTGAAAAAAAACTTTAAAAAATCCTTATTCTCCCAGAACAAACCGCATCTCGTTATCTTTCCCCGTTTTCGGAATATTTACCTGCAAAATGTGTCAGTTTATCTAAGGACACCCTGTATTTCAAAGGGCCATATTTCTGGAACCGCAAAAGCTATCGGCACTAAATTTGTCTCAATTATAGATCCTAATTGCAGCTTCAAAAAAGGTTATTTGAGACTCCGAGCCTAAGGGCTTCGTTTTTTTTGAGAGAAACGGCTTTTAAGCTTTTCCAAAATTTGAGACAAAGTTTCAACTTTGAGCCTCAATACCTCAAAAACTATTCAAGTTATAAATTTAAATCTTGTTTCATCTCAAAGAGCATTTAATTCTGATTATGAAAATATAATTTTGTATTGGAATCTGTGAAATACTATCAAAGTTATGGGCGATTTTGTGAGGTAATGTCAAAAAATCAAAACATTTTAAGACCAAAAATGCCCAATCAACTTTTAATTTTTTACAAGCCCTAAAACTTCGGAAGAACAAACTTCAGAAACGCTTTTCCACTAATTTTGACCTCCTCTTTCGATTGATGAAGTCAAAAATTTGAAAAAACCAAAAATTTGAAAAATTGTATTTTTCCAAAGGGGTATAATGTATGCATGGAAATTCGATTTTCAAATATTTCAAAGGGCCATATTTCTGAAACCGCAAAAGCTTTGGGCACGAAATTTGTCTGAATTATAGATCTCAATTGCAGCTTCAAAAAAGGTTATTTATGACTCCGATCCTAAGAGCCTTGTATTCGAGAAAAACGGGTTTTAAGCTTTTCCAAAATTTGAGACAAAGTTTCAACTTTGAGCCTCAATACCTCGAGAACTGTTTAAGCTATAATTTTAAATCTTGTTTCATCTCAAAGAGCATTTGATTCTGATTATAAAAATATAATTTCGTACTGAATTTCTGAAATATTAACAAAGTTATGGGCGATTTTGTGAGGCAATGTCAAAAAATCAAAACATTTTAAGACCAAAAATGCCCAATCAATTTTTAATTTTTTACAAGCTTCGAAAAAACAAATTGAAAAAACGCTTTTCCACTAATTTTGATCTCCTCTTTCGATTGGTGAAGTGAAAAAATTGAAAAACAAAAAATTTAAAAAATTGAATTTTTCCAAAGGGGTATGGATGGAAATTCGATTTTCAAATATTTCAAAGGGCCATATTTCTGAAACCGCAAAAGCTTTGGGCACGAAATTTCTCTGAATTATAGATCTCAATTGCAGCTTCAAAAAAGGTTATTTAAGACTCCCAGCCTAAGGGCTTCGTTTTTGAGTGAAACGGATTTTAAGCTTTTCCAAAATTTGAGGCAAAGTTTCAACTTTGAGCCTCAATACCTCAGAAACTATTTGAGCTATGAGTTTAAATCTTGTTTTGTCTTAAAGAGAATTTAATTCTGATCAGGAATATATAAATGCTTTAGAATTTGTGAAATATCAATTGAATGATGAGCGATTTTGTGGGGCAATGTCGAATAATCAACAATTTTCGAAGATAACAGATATACATTTCACATCTCTTTGAGCATGACATTATGTGTTACATTTAAGTTAAATTTTACCTTATTTTGACTTGAAAAAAACTAATAAATTATATAATTAGGTAAAGTAGTTACGTAAATGTCTACTTTAACTTTATATAGATGTGTTTACTGGGACTTCTTCCTGTTGGTATTTATTTGACTGATTTATGTTTAATGTTAAAGAACAATAAGTCAGCTGGCACTACGGCATTCCTGCTGAATTCTTTAAACAAAAACCCACATCCTAATAAATAAAATATGGATTATTGAGACCATGTCTACCAAACCAAAGCAGATGCCTCTATAGTTGTCATTTTTAAAAAGGGAGACAAGGCTCAATGGGAAAACTACACAGGAATATCTCTACTTGCCAGGATATCATCAAATCATCTAATCCCAACTGCCAAACACAATCTACTAGTTTGTCTTGAATACCTGATGGTAAATAAGTCTAGTTTCACGTATCCACGAAACTCGCCTACGTAGTAAAATATCCCTAATCAAAAAGCATAGAGCAATAATATTTCCAAATTAAATCTCCCATGAAATATCTCCCAACTTACAAGTATCTTTAACATCTTAAACACGTATCCCAATAACTTTCAAAATGCCCAACCATCAATAAAAGGTTTACAATATCTGCAAAACGTGATCCTTTTTAAAAGGACAGCAAATAAAACATTTAGGGAAATTTTATTATCGTAAATATTTTATACTGATGCGGTTCGAATCGTTTGATTTTTATTGTCAACTACGGACAGAATATTCCCAGTGCATGTTCCATATGGGAAGGTTTACCGGTTTTATTTTTACGTGTATCGCCCGAAAGGAAATCTATACTTAATTTAAAGAAAACACGAGAAAACCATCGGTGGTAACACGAAAACAGTTTCGGGAAAATGTTTATTACCTACTTGTCGCAAAGAATATATATATGATAAACATATGTGTTTGGTTTTCGAATTGAAAAGAATTTGTTTTGTCAATCCTTTTTTGTTATTTTAAATAATTTGTTTATCAGAATCTTGAAAGCTTTTGATATTTGAGAACAATATCGTAACTTTTCTATGGAGCTGCTAATAGATATAAACTTCTTAAGGCAAAATATCAAATTTTACACCTAAAACTACTCCATTAAAGTTTTAGATTATAGGAAATTCGATAGTCATAAGAAACTTACCAGCAAACATTTTTAATTCCCTCATCAGCCGCATCCCTTTTTCTTTTCAACGACGTTTTGTAAGCAGTCAAATCTTCTGCAGTTATGGCTTCCATAGGCGTTTTTGCTTCAATTTCATTCATTTTTTTCGTATACTGTTTAAAGCAAACTTCATTCTCTGGTTCGACTTTTTGCATACAGGGAGCGTGCTTTAGGAATTCTAGAAAAAAATTGATTTGATTATGAATAGCAAATTTCAATAATTGTCAACGAAAATCCTTACCTTCTTGATAAGTTCCGTTCTTGCACAAATTGTTAACCATTTCTCCAGTGCCGTGAAACAATCTTTTGAAATGCTTCCTGTCCTGCAGGTTCATGCAAAACCTCGTATATCTGTGAATGCAATTAATTGCGTCCCTCAAGTCCCTGCAAAGAAAAAAAATCACTCTTTTAAAAAAAGGCCTCTTGAATAATAATAATTGTCCATTAAATCCTACGATTCTGAAAATTAAATTTCGCGTTTATTCTAATGGATCGTTAAGATAAGACCGGTGCAAAAATATGGTGGAACGGTGCACGCCATTGACCGTATAAGGCACAAAATTGCATTTTCTCTCCTTGTTTTTGTGTCACTAATCGTTCCAAGAAAAACGATATAATTGTAAGGCACTTTTAGTGCTGCTACACCCACCCAACTACACTCAAACGAAAATGTTTTTGAAAGGGGAGTAGAAAAAAAAAAGGTAACGCTGCACCAGCGTTTCAAATTTTCTTTTGCAAACTTTGACGTTCGTAATTTGTTTTCGAAATAAATTTACCAAAGAGAATATTGATTTTGTAACAGAAAAAAGATTGATTGAAAATTTCGCTTTTTGATAATCAGTCACCTGGAACACGGAAGTAATTATAGAGAGATTTTAAACTAGCAATTTTGCTATTGACACCGAAAAATTATTCTTGATTCTTGAGGATCCATTATCATTATTATTTTCTCTAGATAGGTTCGTCTCGGAAAAGTTCCTTTAAATGTATTTCCCCATTTACTTTTCCTTCCCTCGTTCTCAAGAAATATTGTCATTATTAACAAGAACTGTTGGGGTTCTAGTCTTGTAGAATCCCAGCTGCTTTTTATAGATTTTTATGTTTCTGTTGGAAATTTCCTATATTTTGACATTTCTGTTCCACGTTCCTTTACTTTTATAATCTGAGATCAATGTTTTGTATTGCGTTAGCGATATTCATTTGGAATTGATCAATTTTCATGGAAATTTACGGCATTACGCGCATATGGATGAGATTGTTAAAGTATCAGTTTCCATTAATGATATGATCTCATGTTTTCACTCTTTCTTCTCAAGATTTTTGTTTTTTTCTATTACATTGTATCGTACGTTTCCTCTAAATCATTTTCTTTGTTTCTTTTCTTACTTCTCTAGATTCCTCTAGAGTCTAGTGTATAGTTTCTTTCTTTGATTATGGAAGCGGGGACTTCTTCACACGTTCCGCGCCGTATACAATAATATTGAAGTCAACGCAAACCCAATACCTCCCAAGATTCATAATTCATTAAGGCACGATATACGTTTTATTTACAGTATAAAATTTTACGATGCTTCTCATTGAGATGACAGAGAATAAGCACTCTTGGCAGCGTCATACTGCATCGATAACGTCAACAACCCTCCATTTATTTTCCCGACACAGAAAACGGGATAAACGGTGGAGGAAAATAGATGGATTCCTGCATAGATGGGCATTTTCGTTTGTAGCAACAGATCGTAGGATTATTTCCAAGACATTTCGAATATTCTTGTTTGTTTATACCTATATGTATATAATGCCACATGTCATTCTATATTCTTGAAGAGCACAATGCCTCGATTTAAAAAATATATAATTTGTCTATATTTGATTGAACAGTCTCTTATATATTTAACTCCAAAAATTGTAAAAATACTATAATACTACCGATTTTTTGAACCATTCTACCTGTACAGGTGAAAGCTGCAAGTAAAATTTGAGGTACTTGGTTTCTCTGATAGTATTTTAAAAATTTTTAAAACCAAATATGTTGGAGATGGCTCAACCCGATATAGACAAACTATATAGTTTTGGAATCGGGAAATTGTGCTCTTCAAGAATATAGAACCAAAAAAGGGCATCCCATTTGGAAAAATCTGAAAGCATGCAATATTTCACATTTCTGACATTCAATTTTTGTTTCTGACCATGGATTCTAAAAATTTAGCCAATACTGTACAACGTATTTACACCTTTCATCTACTTGTAAAGGTTAAGGCTGTAGGTGGGGTGTCAATATATAAAAAAACACCCTGTTTGAACAATAACTTCCTTTTAACAGGAATTAGTAATGTAACTTTACCAAACTAGTAGACGAGCGCAGCGAGTTCCGCAGCTATCTATTCATCAATATGTTGTTTAATCACGATACTAACCTGACTCACTCAAATGTGAGTTATACTCATTAGTTCAAAAACTACACGTTTCAGGTGAATGTCTAACTTGAACAGTTCAATAGTATATTGGTGAATAGATGGCTGCGGAACTCGCTGCGCTCGTCCCGCAGAGGTCCACCTATAAGTTCCGCAACAATCCACTTATTTGTAAAGGGTGTTTTTTTATATATTGACGCCCCACCTACAGCCTGTTCCTTTACAGGTAGAAGAAAGATGTAAATACAAAGTTTGTACAGTTTTGGCTGAATTTTTAGAAATCATGGTCAGAAATAAAATTTGAATGTCAGAAATATGATATTTTGCATGCTTCCAGCTTTCAAATGGGATGCCCTATATTTCATTCTATATTCTTGAAGAGCACAATGCCCCGATTTCAAAAATATATAGTTTGTCTATATTTGATTGAACAGTCTCTCATATACTCGGCTCCAAAAATTGTAAAAATACTATCCTACTACTGATTTTGTGAACCATTCTACCTGTACAGGTAAAAGCTGCAGGTAAAATTTGAGGTAGGTACTTAGTTTGGGTGTCCTTAGATAAACTGATACATTTTACAGGTGAACATCTCGAAAACGAGAAAAGATAACGGGATGCGGTTTGTGCTGGAAGAACAAGGATTTTTTAAAGTTTTTTTTCAGGTTATTAACGAATCCTGAAATTTGGTTTTACAGACATTGGATTTTTTGAAATAATTACATACTGCCTTATTCTTGATGAAACATCCGGTATATTTTATCATCGTCAAAAAGCGTGACTTTTTTTCTTTACAAAAATGTATAACTTTTTTCAATTATCTTTAAATTACATCTCAAAAATTGCACTTTGTTAAAAAGGGTACCATCAATTGGCCAAAAAAAAAGAAATACTTCAAATAATTAGAGGGACTTCAAACTTTCAGGATTTATTGAGTAATGTCTTTTATCAAACAGAACAAACCACGAATGGATATCAGGCTCAGAAATGGAATTATTAATTTTTTCTCATTTAAATGCAAATTTTTTTAAAAATATTTCTATCAAACCACCTTTGGAAGCTTCTGAAAAATACTTCAAGCAATCAAAGGGACTTCAAACTTTCAGGATTTATTGAGTAGTGTCTTTTTATCAAACAAAACAAACCGCGAATGGATATCAAGCTCAGAAATGGAATTATGAATTTTTTCTCATTTAAATGCAAAAAATCTTTTAATATTTCTATCAAACTACTTTTGGAAGCTTCTGAAAAATACTTCAAGCAATCAAAGGGAATTCAAACTTTCAGGATTTATTAAGTAGTGTCTTTTTATCAAAAAGAACAAACCGCGAATGAATATCAAGCTCAGAAATGGAATTATGAATTTTTTCTCATTTAAATGCAAATTATCTTTAAATATTTCTATCAAACCACCTTTGGAAGCTTCTGAAAAATACTTCAAGCAATCAAAGGGACTTCAAACTTTCAGGATTTATTGAGTAGTGTGTTTCTATCAAACAGAACAAACCGCGAATGGATATCAAGCTCAGAAATGGAATTATGAATTTTTTCTCATTTAAATGCAAAAAATCTTTAAATATTTCTATCAAACCACCTTTGGAAGCTTCTGAAAAATACTTCAAGCAATCAAAGGGACTTCAAACTTTCAGGATTTATTGAGTAGTGTCTTTTTATCAAACAAAACAAACCGCGAATGGATATCAAGCTCAGAAATGGAATTATGAATTTTTTCTCATTTAAATGCAAAAAATCTTTAAATATTTCTATCAAACCACCTTTGGAAGCTTCTGAAAAATACGTTAAGCAATCAAAGGGACTTCAAACTTTCAGGATTTATTGAGTAGTGTGTTTTTATCAAACAGAACAAACCGCGAATGGATATCAAGCTCAGAAATGGAATTATGATTTTTTTCTCATTTAAATGCAAAAAATCTTTAAATATTTCTATCAAACTACTTTTGGAAGCTTCTGAAAAATACTTCAAGCAATCAAAGGGACTTCAAACTTTCAAGATTTATTGAGTAGTGTCTTTTTATCAAACAAAACAAACCGCGAATGGATATCAGGCTCAGAAATGGAATTATGAATTTTTTCTCATTTAAATGCAAAAAATCTTTAAATATTTCTATCAAACCACCTTTGGAAGCTTCTGAAAAATACGTTAAGCAATCAACGGGACTTCAAACTTTCAGGATTTATTGAGTAGTGTCTTTTTATCAAACAAAACAAACCGCGAATGGATATCAAGCTCAGAAATGGAATTATGAATTTTTTCTCATTTAAATGCAAAATATCTTTAAATATTTCTATCAAACCACCTTTGGAAGCTTCTGAAAAATACGTTAAGCAATCAACGGGACTTCAAACTTTCAGGATTTATTGAGTAGTGTCTTTTTATCAAACAAAACAAACCGCGAATGGATATCAAGCTCAGAAATGGAATTATGAATTTTTTCTCATTTAAATGCAAAATATCTTTAAATATTTCTATCAAACCACCTTTGGAAGCTTCTGAAAAATACGTTAAGCAATCAACGGGACTTCAAACTTTCAGGATTTATTGAGTAGTGTCTTTTTATCAAACAAAACAAACCGCGAATGGATATTAAGCTCAGAAATGGAATTATGAATTTTTTCTCATTTAAATGCAAAAAATCTTTAAATATTTCTATCAAACTACTTGTAGAAGTTTCTGAAAAATACTTCCAGCAATCAAAGGGACTTCAAACTTTCAGGATTTATTGAGTAGTGTCTTTTTATCAAACAAAACAAACCGCGAATGGATATCAAGCTCAGAAATGGAATTATGAATTTTTTCTCATTTAAATGCAATAAATCTTTAAATATTTTATCAAACCACCTTTGGAAGCATGCATGTAATTTAAAGATGTACATGCACCTTGTTGAAGAGTGTACCTTCGACTGGCTAAAAGAAAATGATAATTAATTATTTGTGTTTTATATGCACTTATTTGTGTTTAATACTTGTAATATTAGTTAACTATGCGCTAATTAGTTAATAAAAGTATTAAACACAAATTAATTCTCAATTTTTTGTTGGTTAGTCGATGGTATTCCCTTCGACAAAGTGCAATTTTCACGATGCAAGTTAAAGATAATTGAAAAAAAATTATACATTTTTGTAAATCAGAAAAATCAGGCTTTCTGACGATGACAAAATATACAGGGTGTTTCATTAAAAATAAGGCAGTCATTTTATTTCAAAAAATCGCATGTCTGTAGAACCAAATTTCAACAAATTTTAGGATTCGGCAATAATGTGAAAAAAAACTTTAAAAAATCCCTATCCTCCCAGAACAAACCGCATCTCGTTATTTTTTCCCGTTTTCGAAATATTTACCTGCAAAATATGTCAGTTTATCTAAGGATACCCTGTATTGTACAAATATGTGCCCTTTTGCCTTTGTGCTCCAATTTTTCTGGATTTTTTGTCATTAGATGAGTAGATTGAATGCCATTTTAGTTCTCGTTAATAACATAAAAAAGATGTCTGTTGATGGTTTAATCATATTTTTCCGAGTAATTGTTGGCTCTTGTGTTCTTCATTAACTGATTCGATAATCACCCGAAGATATTAAAAGCCCGGTTTGAAGAAAAAGCTTGTATCTATTTAGAATGTGCGCCCCTGTTCGTTCGTGACCAACTGCAACATCGTATAAACTCGAAAGCATAAATTTAAAACCCGCCATTGTGAGCGAGGCTTTGGAAAATTTGGGGGTCCGATAAGAACCCGAAAAACATTTCTACATAATATCCGAAACATGTATAAGCATTATTTCCTCGTTTCGTGCTAAAATATATATAACTTCGGGCAATAAATATCCGATGGGATATTTTACGTCAGAAATTACAATTTATCGAAGTGAAGTTGCTATACTTACGGGCAGATGCTTTCCAAATCAGCTTTGGTCGAGACCAAAGTGAGTCCGGAATCCAATACTGAAAGAGGCTTGGCGCACCGCATCAACTCGTCAGCGGTGCAATGGGCATATCCTGCTCTTACTTTGGTGGTGATTACTGCAAAACAAAACACGGCCTTTGAGTGTGCGTTTATTGGAAAGCTTATTTTAAAATATATATAAGTTGGGGAAAACATTGATATGTTGCTGGATAGTAAAGATCTTTCAACTGAACATTTCTAGGAATGAAATATATTAATATTATGTAATGTATAGCGGGTATCGAAGGGAACTACAACATTATGCACTACACATTGTTTTTTCAACGTTTTTATTTAATAATTTAACTGGAAAAATACAACGGAACAAAAACGTTTTATTTGCTTTTGAAACGTTCCTGGAGCTGTGCATAGACCAAAAGGCATCGTTTTATATCGATAAAGTCCAAATGGCGTGACAAAGGCGGTTTTATCACGATCTTCTTCTCTGATAGGTACTTGATGATAACTACTTTTCAGGTCTAAGGTGGTTATGTAGTTAGCTTTTCCAGTTGAATAGATAAGGTCATCTATACGAGGCAACGGCCCAACGGGTAACGAACATTCTTGGTGACAGCATTCAGTCGGCGATAATTAACACATAGACGTGAAGTTCCGTCTTTCTTCGGTACAAGGACGATTGGAAATGCGTATGGCGATTCGCTCTCTTCAATGATATCGCGCTGGTAAGAAGTTTGTCAAGCTCCTGACGCAAAACTTCTAAGGAGATAAGTGATATGGTGGTGCAGCTATGGGAATATCATCAGTGAGGATGATGGTATGCTCAGCATATGGGGTAACTCCTGTATTTTCATAGAACATATCCTTGTTATGTTCCAACAACGATTTCAATGTCCCATCTTCAATATTGGAAAGAGTCGGCAACGACAAATCATTCCCGTCAACAATAGACAAAACTGCGTTGGAATCAATAACTTCATCCTGTAATGGCAAGGAATTGCTTGGATCGTCATTGAAATAGTATATCTTCTTAGGTATATTGAGCACTATATTGAATTGTGATATGAAATCAACGCCAAGTAAAGTCTTACTATCTTTGTAGTCTGAAACAGCAATCATTTGCAGTTTTCGTTGTTTATTCACAACTTCGATGGAACACTGGTTCCCTACATCTTTGCTTCAACCTTTTATAGCGTTATCGTCACTGATGTTCAGACAGTCTTTGTAAATAGTGATGGCATCAATAAAGACTTCAGGATCTCCGTCTGGCTTTCCGGAAAACCTTGAGTCACATTTAGAAAAATTGGCAGCTGTACTTTGCTTCGAAGTAGATTGTGGCGTTTTCTGGAACATATCTATTCGTCAGAACAACAGGGTCACCACATTTTGTCTTGATTTCTTTGGAACTATCGAAGATTATAAGGCATCAACAGAAAAATCCAGCTTGGACTAAGCTAAGCGATAGAAATGTACTCGGGTAAATCCTGACAAACAGGCGACTGTAATGTAGGAACCTTTCGAACAAACTTGGACGGACACACAGGAAACTGTAACGTGGGTACAAAATGGCGGACAAACTTGGACACACAGGAAACTGTGATGTCGGCACAAAAATGGAGAACAAACTTGGACACACAGGAAACTGATCTGAATGTGGTAAAACTTACACAATTCAGTCAGTTATTGCACATTTACACCGATAATGTCTCGCGTTTTATAGTTCATTGATCTACAGTCACAAAATTAGTCCAGAAAGTCATTGGGGTAGTGGTTTCCTATAAAACCCCAGGCCCCACGTTGGGCGCCAAATATGTAGCGGGTATCGAACGTTTTTATTTAACAATTTAACTGGACAAATACAAAGTCGCCAAAATAATAGCAAAATTACTGATAATCAGACTGATGATAAACTTGACCGAGGAAACTGACTGACTGATTGATGACACTTGTCAGACATGGTAGTGGCTATGGTGTCGCAAGTGTAGGCGTTACAGTAAGGTAATATTTACTGCTTTCCAGTAGTAAGAAAACCTTTAAATGAATTCATTTTGAATTACACTTTTGTGGATAAATTTTGTCGAAAAGCATTAAAACAATCGTAAGAAATACGTGACAAAATATCGAGGGTCGTACATCAAAGCGAAAAGCGGGCAAAGTTTGCAATAAAATGAAAATTAGGTAATATTTTTCTCCATTGGAAATAACAAACGGTATTAATTTCATTCGGTGCGAAGCCTCTGAAAATATTTTTAAGTCTATAATAAAAAAGTTTCCATTGGGAGCAAAATGAGAAAAATCACCGCGATAATTTAGAGAGACAAAAATGGTTTAAAGAGAGGTAAACGAGGAATCGAAATTGCATTTCCCATCAGATTACATAGGTATATGAACAAACTTAATCCATTTCATGGAACGCTTATATTTTTGTTTGTGTGTTATCTGAATTTGCAAAAAGAAACAATTCAATTGAATGAAGCCAATTTTCCATCGATTTTTAATTTAAAAAATATTGAATCCTAATCTAATTTCAAGGCAAAAATTCTAGTACTCCGCATTAACAATAACACGCATCCCAACTCTGGTTTCACAATAGGAATATTCCGGATTACTGGTTTGGATGTGGTGTAAAACCAGGATTAATTAATTTTTAGAACCCAGGGATTGAATTGCCTTACTATCCGACCACTGCAAAAACTAATTAACTTTGCGTTGTGTCTCCTCTTTTGGCTCAAATGTATTAAAATATTAGTTTAAAAATAGCAATTCTCTTATTGAAAAAGTAAGAAGCAATTCGATGTTTACTGTTCCAGAGATAATGGTAATGGTATTAGACGGACCTTTTCTTCGATACTAAAAATTAATCACCCTTCAAAATCTACTATACTCGAGCGATCTTGAAAAAGGGAGAATTGTTTGAAAGTCCATTACAATCTAATGATTAAATATTGAAATGGTTTTAGATTGAAACGTTCAGTAGTTTTTTCCTCTCAAAATAATTATTCCCTGAGAAAAACGATTTCGATTCGGTCATTGCGTTTTTGTCCATCCTTTCTTGTACTTCAATCACGATATCGGTAATTGTTAAAATAGTGTAGAGGCGCTCAGTGTGGGTAATTAGGGGTGGCAAGACTGTAATTTGAAAACGCTTTGGCACGCGAGACCTACAAATTGCTTATTGATCCAATAATTGTCTCCTTGTTTAGAGGGACCCCCACCTCTACAGGCTTAACGATCATTCCTGATGGGCGCCCACCTATTTGTTTTACGAATATTAAATTCAAATAGGATTTAGCTCTCCGATGAAATCGCTTGCCATTAATCGAAGGCTCAATTGATGGAAGGTTTAAAATTTAATCAACATGCTAATGATGGAAATTTGTAACTAGGTATGTATTAATTTTTTTAATTGAATATGCTCACAAGTTAAAGAGTCGAATTCTCGATTTGATTTTTGAACAAAATTCCCAGGCCCCACGTTGGGCGCCAAATATGTAGTGTGTACGTACACATTGTTTTTTCAACGTTTTTATTACTGATATTCAGACTGATAATGAACTTGATCGGGGAAACTGATTGACTGATTGATGACACTTGTCAGACATGGTAGTGGCTATAGCTATGGCTATGACAACGGTAGTGGCTATGGCGTCGCAAGTGTAGGCGTTACAGTAAAGTAAAGTCTGTTTACCATTGTCCTAATCCAATTGTTTACATTGTAAAATTGAATTTTCAAAAGTCGATATTGATCAAAAAAGTTTTTCGGACATTTTATTAAATATTCAAGGCTCAGTTCTCAATCAGATCGATTTTGAAGTTAATTGAAAAATCTCTTTTATACATTTTGTCAGTGAAAAGAGGAACTTTTGTTCTTTTCAATTAATTCAAATTGCCTTTAAAGCTTGTCGTGAGTGGAGCTTTTTTGCGGATTAAACACATTTTATAATTGAAAAGTGTTTTATCTGCAATCGTAAATGTATGATACACACTTTATTATTGTTGAGAGAGTTTTAATTTAAAATAATGCAATGTCTCGTGGAGAATAATTCCATCAGCTTAATGTTCGTTCAAGTTTACGGACCAATTTATTATCTTAAAGGATTTATTAATAAGAAAAAAAACACCTTTTCGCTGCCTGCCAAGAGCTTTCTTGTTAAAATTTGAAAATTTAGGACGACCCCTTTCGGCTGGAAATATTTGTTTTAATTAACTAACTTTTTTGAACAAAAAGATATATCACCGGCCTTCCGAAAATCTCGTTACTTAGTTTTTTCGGAAAAAAGATAAATTTTCCGTAGATTTCGAACAGCTTCATCATTCTACGTCGTACCCTCTCTGCGCCGCGTGGGAGACACGAAATTTTTATTAATGAAATTGGATTAATCTTATATCTTTTTCTGTTGATTAAAACCACCTATATAATATTAGTCCAGGAAATCGGTGACAGGAAAGGGTGTTTTGAGGAAAAAATTCCCGGGCTTAGGCTTTTTTTTATTTACCCGAAATGTTAATTGTTAAACGTTATTAACTAGCTGACCCGGCGAACTTCGTATCGCCTCTGAACTATTAAATACCTATTAAATGTTGTGTTAACGCATCTATTAGCTGAATTAAATTCAGTTTTTTCCGATGGTGAATTTGGTTTTGGTTGAAGAAAATTAATGTTTACTCTCTGGATCAGAAGTCACCTAAAATTAAAATTTCACATCATTCCTTTTTAGGCAGCTTGTGGGCATTATTCTTGTAAAGTGTACCACCAAATAAATAAACTCAGGCACAGGAATGTTCAAAGAATGTAAAGAAAACAAAAAAAATCTCCAGCGCAGCCATGTTTCACTCTATCTGCGCTGCATGCACTGCACTACTTCATCTGTTCTACTCTATCTGCACTATTCTATGTAATCTACTCTTCCTGCACCACTCTATCTGATCGGAATAGTGGAATACTTCTGTTCGGAATAGCGCCAGTTCCTGAGCAGCGTTGTTCTACTGTATCTGCAATGGAATTACCGCGCAACGGCGAGCTTCGTTCTAGGTATCAGAGATGGCGCCGTATGCGGGCTTAGTGATTTTTTTTCATAAATAAGTAAAATAAGTATTTTTTTGTTTTTTTTTTCGATTT